TTCTATTCTCTGGTACTCCGTTCCCAATATATCTTTCTGAGGACATAGTATTGCCCCATATACACATTCTGAGGACGTGTTATTTGTTCATACTCCATATCTTTCTGAGGACATGGCATAGTTGTCCTTCATTATCCTTTACACTCTAAAATCGTCAGCCTGGAATCTTTGCAAGCCAGAGGGCCCTTGACTGAAATTTCGCTTCTGAGGACCATTGGTATATTTGTCCTCCCTTTCCTAATGGTCCTCATTTTCCCAATTGTATGTTGCCGTTTTTTTTTGTTACCCCACTTCTTGACGTCCTCGCTTTACAGGATTTTCTTCAGTACTGCGATTGGTAGGTCCATCGTCTCGTCACTTACCAGCACAATGTCAAAATTTTCTTTGTACATCTCTAGATTCTGTTCGATCTGCAAAAACAAATAAGAAAAGAAAAGTCAGAGAAAAAAAGGGCTGAAATATAACTTAAGTTAACATTCAAAGCCTTAACAGCAAACAGGGAGGCAAAAGTTTTGAGAAAATAAAAATTATGAAACTAAATAAATCTCAACTCAACTAAATTCATCAATTACACTTTGATGAATATGGAGTGATGATGCAATAGGCCCCCATGTTAAATGAACATTAATAATGGTTTAATTCCATGCCATTTCAGGAAATTCATTTTATATTCAAAGAGCTAACTAAAATGTACTTCTTAATCTAACAATGAAATCTCAAATTTGGCCACCAAGATTGCAAGAAGGCGATAGGCAGATTGGAATGCGATAATTCAACTTGTTATATCATGTCTTTGGATGCTGTAATTTCATTGGTCTAAAACAGCCACATGTCCAGACAACGCTGGTCGGCTGACCAGCGTTGGAGAAAACTGGCTTTTTTTCAAAAACCACTCCAAAGTTTTCATAACAGTTGCTCCGCATTTTCTTTGCAATTGATTACACACATGTGAAGGGGTACAAGCCTGCCAGACTGATTCTCTGGCCTTACAATTCCCCAAAGTCTATACATTTCTCTGTTTCATCTTAAAGTGGGGTCAGGGAACCAGACTACAAGAACATGATTGGTTTTCTAGGTTTTTCCAGCATCTACAAGCCCAAAACGTGAAACAAGTCAGTTAAACAATATTTGCTATAACATATTAATCCTCCAAATCCATTTATTTCTGAAAACTGCAGCAAAAGCAAATGTTGTACATTCCCTTTAGAGCTACAGTCCATCATTTGTAATTTGTGCATTTTGTTCGTTTGAAGCAACAAGAGAGTTCAAAATCTAATGAAGGATACTGAGTAACTAACCTGATGAAGTTTCAGCTAAGCTTCAGCTGTACATTCCGAGAAAAACAACATTCTTAGATCTCAATTTCAAATCAAAAGTTACTGAATCATGTTTTGAATTGTTTTGAATTGCAGCTATACGCGACGTCGCGCACTGATCCGACGAATTACAACAACCGCGCGCGCGTGTACGTCGTTCCAATACTTGTGCGCGCTGCGCTGAATAACAAAACGAACTACTAATTTAAATTTTCCTACGGTGCTTCTTAAGAATCACCGTTGGAAATGCCTTCTTTCGTTGATTACTTCAAAATGACAGCTTCCCAGAAAGAATAATTTCACAGGGAGTTTAGTTCCCTTACTATCTTTCAACCAAGTTTGTTTTTCAACAATAATTACGCCAGTTACTTTTCGGATGGCTACAAATGATGGACTATAGCTTTAAAATGTGCCTGACTTACATGATCATTGAGGAAGCCTATCGTGAGTGTGTGTTTGGTATATGGCATTCCATCCACCATACTCAGGTCACCTAGTGTGTCTCCTAGTAGGATGATGTTGTCTCGTTTCTTGTGTCTCTCGAAGTATTCAGGGTGGTGCACTGCCGCTTCATGCTTGTTGTACGTGTGGATCAGTTCGCCTTTGAATCCTACAAGTTTGTCCTAGAAAAAAAAAATACTCAACTATCATCACTATCACCGTCAATAATCTGTCAATAATCCCAGTATGGTTAAAGGGACACTAGGTCCTGGAACAGCCCAATTGGGCTACAAAACGCACTTTGAACGAGATGATGATAATCGGAAATAACTTTTAAAAGTAGGATATAAACATCCACACAACTTTCAAAACTGGGCGTTTTTGTGTTATTCCTGTATTATGCGTGCGAGAACGAATTTCGGGGTCCACTTTTGCGACCCCATAAATTTGAGCTGTTTGGATGCTAGTTGTGATTTCATTCGTACGCGTAAAGTGTTCGCCTTTTGCGGACAAAAGAAACCACAATTTTTTTGCATTGGTGATTGGTCACCGCGCGCTGTTCCCAAGACACAACGTGTATAGCGTACATGCGAACGACACGAAAAACGTATTCGTACTCCGTTATGTCCGATGTAAACAAGCGTTTTTTTTCCGTCTTTTCTCGGGAACGGTAAGACATTAGGTTGTTTCCTTTCAACCAGATGTTTGAAATAGGCTAAGTAAACAATCCAAAACATAACATTTTTGGGGATTTCAGGACCTAGTGCCCCTTTAATATTGAACTCCAGTCGTGCCTGCACTTTTATATACAAATGGGCAGCAGCATAATTTGTGCACACATACTGTGCATAGCTAATCTTTGTATAAATCCTCTTGGAACAGCTGTTGTTTTTCCACAGATAGTTGGGGCTAAACTGATGACCTGTTTGACATGTTCATAGAACTCATAATGGGGCAAATCTAAAGGATTTTTAAAACAATTTTGTCTAGACAGGTTTTACGAGAATACATCTGCTGTATTAAAGGCCAAAAACTTAATTACATTGAAATTAACCACAAAGAAAATTGTACAGTAAAACGCCACTTTAACAAACACCGCGGTAACGAACATTTGGCTATAAAGAACATCCCTTTTGGCTCCCAATAATGCACAATCACTATAACGAACGATAACTATAACGAACAAGTTTTATGGATCCTAACATGTTCGTTTTAGTGGCGTTCTACTGTGTACCATTTGTCATGCATACACTTATAAATCCACTTTGTCGGCACATGGTTTATCGATTCCCAAGAGAAGGAAATCATACCTCGTCATTGAATTCCATGAAGTTGGAGATGACTTGTACATTCTGATAACTGTGAAGATTTTCTAGCTTGATGGCCTCTAGTAGAATATCCCCAATGCCGGCTGAGAATATCAGTAGAGGTACACCATAATACTCCAACATTTCAAACATGATGTTACTATGCTCCCTGAAATACACAAAAAATAATAATAACAATAAACAAGGTGGTTCTCGAACCACGCGTCTCTGCCTGTTTTCTTTCAGATGACCTTTGACCTTGGTATGTGACCTTTGACAGCATTATCATATGAAGGTTTCCATGTTGCACCTATGACTTAAGTTTGGTTGCAATTGGACTTCAACTTTTCAAATGAAACCAATTTTACATATTCAGGCTATTTTACAACTTGACCTCAGTTGACCTTTGACCTTGGTATGTGAACTTTGACCTTGGTACGTGACCTTTGACATCATTATCATATGAAGGTTGTCATGTTGCATCTATGACTCAAGTTTGGTTGCAATTGGACTTCAACTTTTCAAATGAGACCAATTTTACATTTTCAGGCTATTTTACAACTTGACCTCAGTTGACCTTTGACCTTGGTATGTGAACTTTGACCTTGGTACGTGACCTTTGACATCATTATCATATGAAATTGGCCTTGTTGTATCTATGACCCGAGTTTGGTTCCAATTAGACTTCCACTTTTGAAATGAGACAAATTTTTCGAAACTTTAACCAAAATACCACATACATACGGATGGACCGACGGACGTAACATACATACATACATGTACATACATACAGACATAGTGATTGCAAGGTCTCTTTCCTGAACTTCGTTCAGGCGAGACAAAAAAGAATGAAGGTACCGATTGTAACATTCCTTGGAGTAAAGTTACCTTGGAACAAACCAGCCTCTAACAATATTCAGTATGACATTTATTGTGAAATGGATACAATCTTTCACAGAGAGCCACAAAAATCAGTCGAAAATAAGCACTGAACGTTCCAAATGCACCAAAACAGTTGACAATGTTGAATCGTACCCAGTTTTTAGCACATTACATGTACGTGCCCTCAGGGGAATATATATTATGCCAATAAGTTAAAAAGATGATTTCAACCCACCATTCAAGAAATTGTAGCCATTCGATTACTGTGAGCTTTAGTGTCAGACACGAGACAGAGAGGTTGCAGTTCTCTGTTGCGAGGCGTGCAGGCCCTAAAAACGCACACATCGTGTGCATGCAAGGCAGTGGATAAAAGGACATTTTTATGCAGCGCGCTGTATATGAGGTAATTTATATGCAACGTTGTGTACATAAAGTAAACAGCCATTTTTATAATAAACCAATGAAATGACAAATATCCAAGACGTGATATACATGTACGTGTAACAATTATGTACAGTGGATGGATCTTTATAAAACAAGCACTGCGATTCAAAGCTTTTGAAATGGAATCTCCCTTCAAAATTTAACAGTTTATTTAAATACAAGGAAGATTTTACCTTAATATAACCTTTGCATCCCGCACCATTTCGGCTATATCACCTCTGTTGAGATTGCATTCAACAAGAAGTTCGTGCGCTGACGTCCACCTTTAATGCAAAGAGAAAACACACAAAATTGTGTGATTTGCCAGACTGTTTCACACAAGTGACCCATGGAACTAGCCACCGCTGTCGTAAGTTTTAGTTTTGATCCACTAAAATTCAGAATTCTGTGATGGCAAGTAATAATAATAATCAAGAAAAAAAACTTTTGAGCATGGGGAAATTTAGAGATAAATATTCATTACACCTGAAGCTTTCTTTACTGGATGTTAGTTATTAACAAGGTAGAATTCTAAATTTTCCACACCAGAATCATGAATTTCACCACAGTACATTTCCCCTATAAGACGCTTGGGGACCGCTGTGGTCCAATGGTTACGGTGTCCGACCCATGTGCCGTGGTACGTGGGTTTGAAACCTGATGGGGAACATGGTGATTGCGTTCTTGGGCAAGACACTTTACTACAATTGTCTCTCTTCACCCAGGAGTACAAATGGGCAACTGTGATGGTAGGGACCGGATTGCGCTGATTTGGAGCTCCTGCAGAAAAAAGATCTCATGGCATGATAATCAGGGGTAATAACTGTGCAGCTCTTGGAGAACTTTGGTTTAAAAACTTTTTGTTTTTCTTAGCCTCTTATGTTTGAACCGAATATTTGATGAAACTGACCCAATATCGATTCGGTTAGGGACCTAAAACTCATGCAAATTTTAACTAAACCCATGGTCTGGAAAACCTCTTGTGGCAAAGTCAGTCAAACCTATAATAATAATAATTGATTATATAACACTTTATACACCACAAGTCTCAAAGCGTTTCACAATTATTACCCCTGTTCATCAGGCCATGAGACCAGATTTTGCAGCAGCTCGAGATCAGGTCTCTCCACCTTCACAGGTACCCATTTATACTCCTGGGTGAAGAGAGGCATTTGTAGTGACGTGTCTTGCCCAAGAACACCAGCCCCGTGTTCCCTGTCAGGGTTCGAACGTACGTACCACGGCACATGAGTCGAACACCATAACCATTGGAACACAGCACTCCAACCCTGATGACATGGAATGGATTGTAGTTGGTTTTGGGGAGTAAAATTTTCAAGTCTCCCTGAATCAGCGATCTGTCCTTACCAGTCTGTCATCAGCTGATATTTCTCCTCTCTGCTCAGCGTGTTAGACATCTCTAGTGGGTAGTAGTGTTCGCGAGTTGCTATCGCTTTCTTTCTGTATTCTTCTGGCAGTATTGTGGCGATGTCTAAAACACCTGTGACAGAGTCGGAAATTGATTAAAAAGGGTAAAAAAAAACCTGAAGAAGGACAAGATGTCCGAAAATTTGGCAAAGCAAATACTGGTGAGCACTACTTAAATTTATATTTTCATTTACTTCTTCATAAGTGCTACACAGCACCCCATTTTGTAAATGAAAACTCGATGTCTTCTTACTTTTTTCCTAATTTTAGCACACATTTAAATATAAAATTGTTTGTCCTCAGAAACATTTAGAGCCCTGCATATGCTGATAACACATGCAACCAATTCCTGACCTGCATAAAAAACTCCATTAAGTTTTAGTAATACCTGTTTCTGTTTTTAATAAACCATGGCTTGATTAATGTCATTAAGTGCATAACTAGAACAATAATCTTTAATCCCATGACAGTTTTCAGGGATAAAGCAAGTGAGCAGCTGGCAGTACATGTACTACCACAAATGTTCAGTAAGAATGACTGTTACGTACTTTTAGCATTGCTTCTCTCCATTGGAGTAAAATTTTTAAATTTGTTTTATCTACCCCTTCATTCTTGATGTTTATTGATGATCTTTTTTTTTGGTGACAAGTTGGTTCAATTCAATTTTTAAAGAAGATTTTTTTCGAACATATTGCAACCGAGAGTGAGAGCGAAGCCAAGTTATCTCTATTTGAAGCCTAAGACTAGACTGGTACATGTCCCACTTTTTGAAAAGATTGACCCTTCAGTAGTCTGGTGGCATGACTATAAAGAGACGTGTAGAAATAGAGACCGGTACTGGATGTTTCTTTTGACACAGTTGGTTGATGCAGTACTAAAGGGGTGTTGGACTGGTTGTTTCATGTGCCAGTCGTTTTTCTTGTATTGCATGTTTTCAAAACCTTAATAGACAGTAATGAGAGTCCCAAATTTTTCAAAAATACATGTACCTTAGATGACATTCCAACTAGAAACGTTGATTATTACAATCAGTCTGCCCCCTTACCATGACATGTGGGCACTTTCCGGCCTTCGTTGTCCATGAATCTGGACAAGGTTCGGTCAAAGTCTGTGACCACTAGGAGTTTGCTCTTGCCGTCTTTGATCAGCTGCGTCACCAACTCCTCCACCCTGTCCGGATCTTTCATGTGGACGTACGGTTTTTGGAACTCGTCCATCTGCAAGTAAAAAATAAATAAATTAAACGTAAATTGATAATTTGCAAGACAATTTGCACGTGTTCTACAGGGTGAGTATAGCGCCATGAGCGTCACCTAGTGATGGACCTGTTTGCGCTTAATAAGATGCCACTATTATTATTATTATTATTAAGAAAAAAACACAACCCAAATGGCCAGCACAATTTTTGAATGAAGGTTTGCCTGTAGCACTTTCAAGATCTAGGATATGAAAGCCCAATCAATGAGCTTTCTTTTAGTACAAGAATCATTCAGATCACTCATGTACTTTTCAAGTTACGGAGTATTGAACACAAATACTGTTTTAAAGTTCTGTCCACGGATCACAAAAAAGTCAGTGTTCTTTAAGCAAAAGGGATGTGAAATGTTTTCATTTTGCTGAAAGAACAAGTTTACCTTTTTTTTGTGATCCTTGGACAGAACTTTAAAACGGCTGTTTGTGTTTAAAATTTGTAACTTGAAAAGTACATGAGTAATTTGAATGATTCTTATACTAAAAGAAAGCTCATTGATTGGGCTTTCGTATCCTAGATTTTTAAAAGTGCTACGGGCAAAACTTCATTCAAAAATTGGTCCTGCAATTTGGGTTGCATTTTTTTTTCACCCACCCTGCATTTGCATTTCCTGTGCATGCAATTCTAGCTTGGAAAATTTATAACAATTCTGAATTTATCTAAAGATTTTGAGCAGTAAATTACCGCAATGTAATGCATCCTTGCACTGCGAGTCATCCACCGGTATGACCTGTACTAGCTGTCGTAGATGTGAAAAACTGAGAAATGCGTGTTTGTCTTTATGTAGCAGCCATGTAACGCATAGTTTATGGCTATGGTACTGCCCCGCCCACTTTTACCTGCGCCATTATAAACACTGCATGTTTATGATCATGATAACAAACTGTCAACCAAAATGATGCACATGTATAATGCAAATGCAAGTTGGCAACATAATGGAAAAATAATATCTCCTGATTTCATGACATGTGAAAACAAAACAAGGCAAAAAAACTGAAATGGTTCAATATTTTTTTTCCTCCAATGGTGTGAATGTGATCAATTTCCTCCAGTTATTTGGTTATTTACATCACAATCCAGCGACTGTAAATGACATGGATAATGTTATGATAACTACTAGCATTTATGTGACTCGAATTACAATACACACTAGTCTATAGTCTATATTTATATTATACAGTGCAACAGAAAGATCCCCATATCTGGCCATCACTTGTCACCCTGTGCACAAACCCTATGACACTGGTCTGTTTTCTCAGTATATACTTCAACATTTTTTCTGCTAATTTTGACTTTTTATGACATATCATTTTCTGATGGCTGATAGTGATAGTACTGTGATAGGTCACTGAAGGGAAAAATGAGTGATGGCCAGATATGGGAATCTTTCCCATACAAAACGTCCTGTCATGCCCGTTTGAACCCTACATTTATCGTCAGACCCCCTAAAGCCACACGGTCCTTTTTCTACGCACTCGCCTTCACTTTGTGTGTGACAACACGCGCACGTTGCAAGCGTTACCTGCGCAGATAATGGAGGGTCGAGGATAATTTATTTTAATATAACCTCGACCCTCCATTATCTGCGCAAGTAATGCTTGCATACGCGCGCGCGTTATCACACACAAATTGAAGGTAAATGTGTAAAAAAAGAAAAAGGAAATGCGTAGAAAAATTATGCTATACTGTCCATGACAGCGCAACTTTTATAAGAATATTATTATTCGCCAGGCGAAAAATAAGATTAGATTGCGCAGACATGGCAGAATTCATCAATTATAGGCCTACACATAATTCCCAAACAATCTTAAGAATGAGCGCTCATTCTCTTAACTTAAGATTGTGCACTCATTCTGAAGATTGCGTGCTCGTTCTCAAGAACGCACGCTCATTCTAATGAATGATATCGTGAATTGCAAGAAAGCGCACAACACTCAGGCTCATTGACAAGACATGACATGACCAATTTTCGGACCAACGTTCATTACCATTTCAATAATCTTTGTTCTCTTCCTCTTTCTTCCATTAAGAACGTACGTCAGCGTAACGGCTCCTAAAGCCACTAGTCCTGCTCCAACTACAAACTTGAACGACGACGAACGCAACATTTTGCAAGCAATTCCTGCCTTCTTTGCTCCAGCATCGATCGCGCGCGCGATAAACGAAAAGAAAAGAAACAGCTGATGCTTGCTCGATGAACGAGCGTCGGGTGGGCGCGCTTGCATCATAATTTTACAAATGAATACAGACATTTTAATTATTGTCAGATGAAGGTTTTTGTCAAACATTTTTATAACGATATTTAAAGTTTAAAATAGAAATTAATTATCAGAAAATGCTTTATATATTTTATTTTGATTATTTATTCTGAAATACAATTTTGGTCGAGGATAATTTCTTTTAGACGGGTGCTCTATCACATGCGCTGTCAAAACAACAGTACGTGGTATTTTCAATTCATAAAAGGAAGAAGTCTGGGTATACTTCAACATGTTAAACACATCAAGTGATGAACATTTTCCCCGGTTTCGTTAAAAATCATCACAAAGAAGATCATGGTAAGTTGATGAACCATGGTTGAACCACATACATGTGTGTACATCGATTGAGAGTTTGAGATCAGGAAAGTTTGCCGTCTAGCATCGGTATTAATTATAGCTCATAGGACATAGCATCCCGAAAAAATGTGTGGCGCGCAGCGACAACCAAAGTTCTAGCCAAATTCGCCCCCAGATCATGCACGATAAGCGCGAGTAAAACGAACTCGCCCCGCTTATCTTTATTTACAACACTAAAAAGTCATAATGTGATTGATGATCATGCAATTATGCATAAAGTTGAATTAAAATCTTTTTGGAGCTGTCATGACGGCTGTATTTTAAAAATAATCAAGAATGTTAATTATTTCTGTATAAACAGGTTTTTATTAAAACTTACAGATTTTTTTTCTTCGAAGTGGCTATCGTTACGGCAGCCGTTGTTTAGCGCCCTCTACGATACTTTTTTTGATACGCACGCAGGTATATAATTATTTGTTTCCCCACGTTTTAGCGAGCAGTGCAACAGCTCAGTCGATAGAGGGTAGGATTTTGCACCGAGAGGTTGCGGGTTCGCATCTCAGTTTTGCACTCGAATTTTTTTCCTTTTCTAACCTGAGGCTTTGGAGGATTTTTTTTAAAAGGGAAATAAAGTCCGAATTTCATAACGTTCAAAATCAAATTCACTTTTTTCCTTATAATTTTATATTTTCTTCTCATGTTTTTATAAAAGTTGCAGTAGGCCTACTACCGTAACGATAGAAAATGGGAAATGCGTTACGGCTGCCGTAACGATAGCCATTGCGTTTTTTTTATTATAAAAAAATTGTATTATTAATAATAAAATGGTTAGTGTGGACATGTTATAATAATGAATGCTGAAATTGTTCAAATGGAAAAAATTCCATACTGGATCACCAACTTTAATACATGTACCTGCCGCCAAACACATCAATTTTCACCTCACCTTGTGATTCCACCCAAGAGGAATCTAGTCCGAGTAACTTAACTAGGTCTCTACGGATCGCTTTTTTAACATTGGGACATGGTCGGGCGATAGTAAAGTCCGAGATCGATGGCCGTATTGCGTCTACTTATAATTTTTGTTGACCATTTTCACTCAGTCATACCCCAAATCAAAATCTTCAGATTTCACCCCCAAAACAGTCTTCAAACTGCCTTATGCACCCCTGTAGGCTTCAGTTATCTTCATCATTGTCTTACCCTGAAATTTCCTTAACAAAATAAAAACCCTGCCATGCCTGGCTGGGCCTGCCCTCTATCCATGACACCCCTGTTTACTCTAAATTTCGCTAACTAGTTTCAAGTCCAAATTAAACCTAAGCATAGATTTTTGTTCTCTTATAGAAACAGGGCCCGTAACTTAACAATTGTCAAAACATTGCCAGTTCATCTCAATACCAAAAAAACTATGTCTAGAACGTGGGATTACACATCAGCTGGTGAAAACATCTGTGATTCATTCGCACTCTAGTTTTCACTGGTTGCTGTGCAGCTGTGTGTTACCATTCAGCACTCCAGACTCAAGAGCCATTGGGTGTCAAGAAAATGTGTCTAGGAGCTAGCTAAGCCAACGGAAAAAAATCCTGGATGTCCGTGGTCACCTATTTCTTTAGGTCCCAATGATTCTGTGGGAACATTTTTCAAAGTAAAACTCCACAAAACCCACGTTGAGTGTAACCCCCGGAACCACTCCAGGTTTGCAAGGGTTGGACTAAAAGAGTTTCCAGAACGGCCCAAATTCACTTTGCAGCTACATGTAGTGCTGTAGTGATTTCCTGACTACACAAAAATTGAATTTAAATTTATAGAAGCCTCTCTGAATTTTACTGCCTTTCCATGACCAGCTTTGCTGCAGAGCAATATTCCTACATTACTGCATTTTTCAGCTACCACGCCATGTACCATTATGTACATTCCAAAAGGGGTATTTAAGCAAGGTAATCTGCAGTTACTCCCCACTTTTTGCATGGACACGATTTATTAGGATATACAAATTAGTTGCACATTTTGTACTGGGAACCAGTCTAGGCCTAGGTCTCGCCCAACTCTCCTTTTTGTGGCCGTTGGGTAGTCCCATAAATGTGGCCAATTTACTGGACTACTACCTCCGTAAGTAAGGGCCACACTTGGAACATGTATCTGAAAATGTAGAAGTTCGTCAAATTCTTATTTTCACATTTAGACTATCTTTGTAGTTTATTTACCAACGTATTCACCCTCTTTATAGCGATAGAAAAGAAGTCCCGCATTTTTCAGACGTCTAGTTTTCCTGTAAGTTCGTGTTAGAATTTAGATATGCAAACATGTACAAACGAACCTGGAAATTACATAAAAAATAGACTAAAGAAACTAGAAAGGAGGGACTACATGTACTTTTCTATCACTTTAAAGAGGGTGAGTGTGCTTCTAAAGCATAAATAAATTATTGGGTACTTGTGCATGGAGCCGAACGCACCTCATTTGTATCCATTCTTGAAATATTTGAAATTTTAAGCCAATAAAGGCCAGCAAAATTAATGGATTTTAATGTTTTTTTAATTTGTTTGTTATAAGGTTTTTTTAATGGTTTTTAGATAATTGTTGTTGATTGTAAAGTGCCTTGAATGTCAGTTTGACGGATTTTGATGTTACATAAGAATATTATTATTATTTTGAGCATAAATAACTTGAACAGTGGTGTTTGTTCATGCAGAACATCTCAAAGTGGGATACATTGTAAAGAATGCTTGTTGCCTCAACAAAAAACACCCAAGTTTTGTAGAATTTGTGCATCCTTTGTTGTGTTCTGAAAGAATTTTCTTGTAATTGATGAAGCGCAGTGCTTGCTATTCATACACACAAAGCAGACAGTTATGACACACCAACAATAACCAGCACAGTACAAATAAAGATATCCGTTCTCCTATTTAGGCAATGCTTGGAAAGCCATACCACAACAATGGTCTTCTTTTTTTTTCAAGGCCTTGATATGTTTTTTGATGACCTGTCCACCTGTAAAATGGTTCTTGATTTGTAATGTAAGTAAATATTTGCTTTTCTTTTCCCCACAGAAACTATCATTTTTGCGGCTTGCTATGAAAACAGGAACTGGTGGTGAACTTGTAGTCTTTGGACCACTCCCCGCTGATACGTTAACCACAGGAAGCATGGACAAAACTGCAAGACCATGTACTTCATCACAGGATACCATTTAATTGCACATTTTTTGCTATGGAACCCCAACTGTGGAAGGGCCATTGAGTCTAAAGTGCGCATAGTTTGAAAGACTTGCATACCGTTGTTGTAATTCAACATGCTACAGTGTTGCTTACTGCGTTGGAAGTGGAGTACTAGATTATTTTGAGAACCACATGCAACATGGTTGAAATTTTGTAACATAAGTTGAGCAACAGCACAAAATAAATTCAAAGAGAAACTGATGATTGCCCACTAGTATGTCACGAAATGGCTCCTCGTCAGCGACAAGCCAGCAAGAAGCAGCTCCAGAGAGGCGGGGCTTCTAAATTGTTCCGCCCACAAAATGGGAGTGGCGCTCACCACACCCCTGAGAGCCACCTGAAGGAGCCTTTGGCCCCCCAGTCACCATTTTCTGGAGTTCAAATTTGTGTGTATGGCGCCGTCTTTTCTCTGGCTTTGCTTTGTTACGCCAACACGCTCAGCCACGATTTGGTCCACGATGATATTTTTGCCATTGAGGGCAACAGGGACGTACGTGGGGAGTCCCCTCTGCGGAATCTACTGCTGGATGACTTCTGGGGGAAGCCGATGTGGGACAACACAAGCCATAAGTCATACAGGCCACTGTGTGTCATCACATTTAGGTATGTTATATGCAAATACAATGTACTATATTAATGCTTTTATGAAGAGACACATTTTTGTCTTTGTCATGTTTGTGGAAAATGTGACAGTATGATGTCACTGTACATTTACTAATTGTCCCTTGTCACCTTGTAAGAAATTGGAATGCCTAAAATGTGGTGTTGTTTTTTTATTAAGTGTGTGGCGTTTTGAAACATGCTCCTTCATTGTCTGAGATTTGTACATTAACATATTTGTTTATAAACTTTACTATTACATGTGCATGTACATTGTGTCCAGAATTTGGACTTGGTCATGAGGTCTAAAATTATATACATGTACATGTATGAGCCACATCATAAAGGGAATATACAACATTTGTAAACATCAAAAAACGAAACTACCAAATGATCACGAAATACTTTACTGGACTATTACTAGTGAATAATGACATTCTAAAGCATCCTGTGCAATCATGGCACCTGGTGTGCTGGCATTTTCAGGAAATGTGGTATTTTTGTATCAATTTCCAATGCTGGTCGGCTGACAATGATACTCGGGTGTAATATCAGTTAAATTACCATATGAAAAAATTTAGAGCTTAGTAAAAAGTAAAAAAAATTGTTGTGAGATTTAATGCATTAATAATGATTGATTAAATTAAATTAAATCTCATTACATGTGATTAAATTATCAAAGAGGTTTGTAATGGTACGCAACACAGTTGCTTTGTGCTGACTGTAGCTCTTCAGGAATCCTTGCAGTTTTTAAGAAGGAAGAAAAGATATTGACAACATTTAATTGATTTAAATGCACTTATACCTGATGAATATACTCTTATAATTTTGTTTTAGACAGTTGTAATATGTTTTTCATTTGCCAATCATGTCTGGCTTTCAGATTGAACCATATGCTCCATGGCCTGCACCCCATGGGATACCATCTTGTCAACATCCTCCTCCATGCCGTCGTCAGTGTTCTCTTCACCTATGTCTGCCAGACGGTAGTGTTTACTGAGATGATGCCCACTGCAGTAGCTGGTGTCTTGTTTGCCACGCACCCAATACACACTGAAGCGGTGAGTTCAAAATGAGAACATGCTGTGCTCAACGTTCAAGGAGGCTGTTAACTGCACCCCCACCCCTAAAAAAGCCTACAACAAACAAACAAACAAACATGCCCAACAACCCCCCCCCCCACAAAAAAACCTGTAAAAACCCAAAACTAAAACAAACCTTTACCTAGAAAATCTGTTTTTAGATTATGCTAAAACTGTCCAATAAGTATTTTTCTGATTTTTTTTAATTTTCCCACAAACGTAACCTGTCACTACAAAATGAGCTTAAAGTTGGAAATTGGCATTTTGCAGAATAGTTGGGCAAAACCAAAATTTGAAGGGGGGGTCAATTCATTTTAATTTTTTTATTAGTGAACCTTAATCTGTCAAACATTTTAAAACCTATCTTCAAAAGCGTATTATTAGTTGACTGTTCATTAACTTAAACAGAACTACAGAATTTTTAAATGCCATTTTTGAGAATCCATTTTACAACTTTCAAGTTAGTCTGTAGTTAATATCTCCGTTACTGAACTCAGAACCCCTAAACGTTGTACCAGTGGAAAGCTTTTCTGCAAAATCCAAATAAATAAATACCTATCATCTTGTGATAACAGGTCTTGTGATGACACAAATATTGATCCTAATTTTCTAACTTAGTATTATTTGATTTAGTATTATTTATTCCCCACAGTGATTTAAAATCCTTTAATTTTATTTGTCAATATCGGTCTTAAATCATAGCTGATAAATATGGTTTTGTTTATCCTCAGGTTGCTGGGGTAGTTGGCCGTGCTGACTTGATGGCCTGCCTGTTCTTCTTACTGTCATTTCTTGCCTTTCAAAGGTAAGTAAAGAAAAATGTGGTTTGGAATCAAAAATAGAAATACACAGTTGCCAACTATTCCTTTGTACATGCCAATTGTTTTTTCTCTTTTTTTAAACAAAGTTAAAGGCATATGTAAACTTGAAATAGTAAAAACTTTGCTGCACATGTGCATTAATTAGCTTGAAGTGTTACAGGTAATATGCAACATTTGCTTTTGCTGTACTTTTCAGAAATGGATGGATTTGGGGTTACATGTTTTATAGCAAGTGTTGGTACTTGTTACACTGACCTATTAAAAGTTTTGTGTTTTAATAATAATGTTGGAAAAATCAAGAAAAAAAGTCCTGTTGTAGTCTGGCTCCCTGACCCTACTTCAGATGAAATGGCGTATTTTATAGATGTTAAGGAATTGTTATGTCAAGGAACCAGACTAACTGGCTGGCACCCATTCACAGTTTGTAACCGATTGCAAAAAAATGGGTACTAACTAAATTTGATAAATTTGGGGCAGTATTTGAAAAAAAAGTTAAGGTTTTTTTCTAACGATGGTCAGCTGACCATCGTTGGAAACTGATACAAAAATTCCACTTTTCTTGAAAATGACATCCTACAAGGTTCCACGATTTCACAGAATGCTTGAGACTATAATTCACTACAGTCAAGTAAGGTATTTCATAATTTGGTAATTTTGTTTTACAATTTTTCAAATATTGTATATTACTATACTTTTAACTGGGCTTTACACTTTAAGATGAAATGTGTCGACACCCATACATTGCTTCCTTTCCTAAAAAGCCTGCTAGATATTTGACATACAGTTCTTTCTGTGTTTCTCACAGGAGTATCAAACAGGGAAAATCAGGCTTTGCATTTACTGACAGACCAGGCAGTCTGGTACTCAGTCTCCTGCTTGTCGTGTGTGCACTGTTGAGCAAGGAGCATGGTGCCACCGTACTAGGAGTGTTCATGGTCTATGATGTCATGATGACATCACGACCAGGGATTTACAGGTATGTTGAACAGCTTCAATCAGCAAAGATTTTTTATGACTAAAAAGATAACAATGCAGAAAAATATTTCTGGTCAAAAGTAAAAGTGTTATTGAAACTTAAACTCTGGAAATGGACAGTGTTTATACTAATTATTGTGATTTTTTAAACAGTTGAATTATTAATTTTAATATTAATAGTTAATCCTTTCATCTTAACAACTTACACTTGTTCTTCAAATAATACATCTCTCTCGTTGAGTAAATTAATACCGATGTTAATTATTATGTGTATTTACGAAGTGCCAATGTTCACCATTTTGGTGCTCAGGAATGACAAGTGCTATACATTGACACTTTTACGGATAGATCAGAAGTGTGTAGTGAAGTATGATCACTTTGTGTTCTGGGAAAGTTTGCATGACGAACTGGGATTTTGTGCAGTGCAAACTGTCCCGCAATGCGTAAGATACACATTCACTGCATCCTTGGCTATCTGTAAAAAGGGTCCATGGTATGTTATTATTACATGTACCCCTGCTCAACAGACTTATCAAGTATTTGCTGCTACCGTTTTGCTGCGATCGGCTCAATGAAAAAAAAAAAAAACCTTTGCCCATTTAAGCATGCATTTCCTTTGTGGAGAGAAACACGTGAGAAAAGTGTGTTGCCTAGGGACACACAGACTGCAACCCCACCCATTGGAATTTGAACCCACCATCTCTAGTTTCTCTATATAGGTAATTCCAGCGTTAGGAAAAGGAACTATGTCCATGACAAAGCAAATTAACCATGATATCCAGCGCCAAGTCTGTGCGTAATCTCATTGACCATTACTGGATGATGGATCTATAAAATTTGTAAAATACATTTTCAGGTTTATTGACTGAGCTCTAAAAAGTTGGGCTCTAACACAAAAATGCTGGTCTTAAACTCAAGATAGCAACCAATCATTGTCAAAAAATAACAGAATTTCAAATTTCTTAACCTTTTCCAAACTGTTTTAATAATCTCCCTAACATTGCATGTTGTTAACCTTTAACCTCCTAACCAGGACCCTTCCATTTCTCTGTAGGGTACTGATAACAAGACGATTTGGGAGGGGCTGCATGCCACTGTTTAAACGGTGTGCAGTTATTGTTGCAACTGTAAGTAAGCGACTGCGGTGACTTGTGTTTTTCCCCCTTTTTACTCGATGCACATTTCTAACCTCAATTCCCTTCTTATATTCCATCTAATTGCCACTTTCGTTTAACAATTAAATATTGACATTGTGAATTTGTGGTCACACCATGCAGAAATTCTCTCTGCACCAAAATACTTTGTTCATGTTTATGAGAGACTTTAAAAGAAACCTTTCATACTTTTTGCTTCACTTGTAAATTTTGTTTACGAAAGGTTGAGCTTATTGTTATCACATTGATGTTTGAGTAAACAACCTATGCTTTATGAAGTATATTTCATTGCAGATTCCCTATTAGTTTTGCCAAATGGAGTGATTTCATATGTCACAGATTCTTTAGTTTCTCTTTTTAGACCAAGATTTTTTTTGCACAAGGTTTCCTCTTCTAGACTTTGTTAATTTTGTTCTCTATCCTGGTTGCTTGTTGTTTCAGGTGTGTGTTGTGCTGTTCTTAAGGGTCTGGATGCTGCAGGGTCACTTGCCTCACTTCTCAGAGCAGGATAACCCTGCATCGTTTGCTCCGCATCTACTGACAAGGTGTGAGGAGATTTTTTTTTTTATCATACATGGATAAATAAAAGCCCCCTAATTCCACAAATTTCATAATAAAATCTATTCGAGCTGAGTTAAATTTGATATTGGGTTTTACCCTTCACTGTCCGAGGACTTGCGAGAAACAAGTCACAAGCTACTCTGGTATGACTCGAACCCACGACGTCCTGCTCATTAGTGCATACGTCTTACCACCCGACCACCGAGCTTGGGGTCGGTTGGCTGGTTCCAATCTCTTATATATAGCAGTGGTTACCAGCAGTGGGTACCGCAACAAAACTGATTAACATTGCCAATTGGAACACACCCGGCAGCTATGAAGGATACAGAAAACAAGGACACCTTGAAAAAAAACACTGTATAAATTCACGATCAACTGAAAGCTTACATTGTCCAGGAGTTATTCATCAATTAATTTTTAAAATTAAAAAACAAATGTTGTTAACTTGAGATGCCATACAAATGCATTGAGATGCAGTGTTTTTAAATTTAAAAAAAAATCATCCTTTTGCAGGAAAAAGATTCCAGCTTAAATTGGGTGCATCAAAAAAGTATTTTAAAAATGTATAGTCGTAGTTTGCCTGAAAACCATGCAAACTGAATGTTTGGCAATATTTACAAACATACATCAGCTTTTTTCCTGTGATGCACTCCACGTACACAACAGGATTTCTGCTACTTACAGCACAATAATATTTTAATAACCAACAGTTCTTTTGATGTTCTCTTGCGCATTGCAGTATTTTGTTCAAAGTTTAAAGTCCTTTTTTATGTTTTTCCCCCCAGGTTTTTGACCTACAGCTACCTGGTTTTCTTCAACGTCTGGTTGCTACTGTGCCCTTTGACCCTCTCCTATGATTGGCAGATGAACAGCATCCCATTGGTGGAATCATTATGGGATGTGCGTAACCTGGCAACCATAACTACAGTTATCACCCTGGGGTTTCTGGCTGTGAGCTGTATTGTCGTAAAAAAGGTATGCAGGTTAAAAACATCACAGATTGTTTAATAAGTTTTCAGTTCTCAATTGTAAAACTTTATAAAGCGAATGACACCAAAAGTCTTACTGATTACTGCAAATACTGATTTCATTTTTGTTAAACATCAGATTGATGTGGCATAGACCTATTATTTGTGTACATTTTCTCCTTCGTGATCATATTTAGCAACTATTTGTACTTTGTTTCTGGCATAGAATTATGAAAATATGTATTTGAGCAGCTTTATTTTTCTTCTTATTTTTTTTCCAAGGGTATGCCCAAACAGTATGGTTTTCATTGGGGCCTTGTTTGCAATACAAATTACTACATACAATTCAAAACAGAATTCTCCTGACTGTTCGAAACATTGAGTCCCTCCAGTTTTTTTCAGAACCACACATACTCACAAAAGAGATTTATTCACATGGTGCTACCGCAAACTTATCTTGTCTTAGAATTGAATGTATGGACAAACACAAAGTAAATTTCCTTTATGCAATGCAAAAATAAACATTTTAGGCATCCATAACTTGACTATTCATGGTAACCCAGTTAGTATTGCGACTATGTTAAAGTGAAAGGTGGTGATTTGTTACTGTTGTTTACTGCCTCATCTTGTAGGACCAGGATCGACGCGTCTTAGTCCTTGGCCTGTCATTTCTTGCCATTCCATTCCTCCCTGCCTCTAATCTCTTCATCAGGGTCGGCTTCGTGGTCGCTGAGAGAATTCTTTACATTCCAAGGTATATTAATTTTCAACTTGTTATATCTGTATTAACGATTCTAACGAGCATTTTAGATGCACATATATCTGGTAGGTGGTAGGCACAGCTGGCTTAGCAGTCATAGCATAGCTGTATCAGGTTTCTTAACAATCACAGCCAGTCAATCCTGCTTTATGAAGGCAGGGAGCACTCAAATGTTAAAAACAGTCACTTGATTTATTTTCACTGCTGGGCTGGCCTTGTTGAAATTGCCAGCCAGTGAGGAAGGGTTTTAAAGAGAAGGTTTGTATTTTGAAAGAAGATTGGAATGAACTGAGAAATAAAATATGATAGTTCAGTAATATATTACATGACAGGGCAAGAAAACCAAGACTCATATGAAAATTGAATTGATCTGTTTCTCCCTGTAGTATGGGCTACTGCATCCTGTGTGCCCATGCTCTCAGTAAGCTGGGAGGGTTGAGCAGCAAACATGGCAAGACTATAATGATGATTATTGTCGCTGTGATCACACTGTTGTATATTGGGAAAACCGTCACAAGGAACCAGGTCTGGAAGTCAAGGGAATCCCTGTTTAGGTAAGATAAAATGTAGAGTCAAATATGTCAGGGTATTTTGTAACTGGTTAGTGTTTTAGTGTGAGTGGGCTTGAAATACCCACTGGTCCATGGCTCTGAGGAAAGTGGTTTAAGTGCATGTGTCTGGCGACTGTTATGATCAAACTGGAGCGGTGTTCTAGTAGAGTTTCAAATGAGTTCTGTCTCCAGTTTTCGGCATTAAAAGACGGGGAATATTTTTGTCTATTCTGTCTGGATGGGATGCCTGTGAGGTGAAAGGCAAGTAGGGATAATAAAGTGGCTTGCACAAGGACAACATACAGGGTGAGTAAAAAAAAACGAAACCCAATTGTCGGGACTATTGTTTTATGAAGTTCTGCATGTAGCACTTTCAAAATCTAGGACATAACAGCCCAATTCATAAGCTTTCTTTTAGTACAAGAATCATTCAAATCACTCATGTACTTTTCAAGTTACGGAGTTTTAAACACAGCCACCGTTTTAGAGTTCTGTCCACGTATCGCAAAAAAAGGTGCGCGTTCTTTCAGCCAAACGAAAACAATTCACACACATCCCTGTGATTTGTTTTCGTTTTGCTGAAAGAACACCGAACTTTTTTGTGATTCGTGGACAGAACCTTAAAACAATGGTTGTGTTTCAAATTCCGTAACTTGAAGAGTACATGAGTCATGTGAATGATTCCTGTGCTAAAACAAAGCTTATGAATTGGGCTTTTATATCCTAGATTTTGAAAGTGCTACATGCAAAACTTCACTAAACAATGGTCCCAACATTTGGGTTTCATTTTTTTTTACTCACCCTGTATAGTTGGCAGCTGGATTCAAAACCCTTAATCTCTGATCATGAGTCACAAAGCTGAGGCCACATTCCCCCGCACTACTGTAGAGTTTCAAACTGATCGATATGTCAGGACTGATCATTATTTCTTGGCGAACCTTCTACTTGAATTCCAATTAGAATCAAGTTAACTCCAACACTAATCTTGGTATTTAAACTGGAAAACTGTTATTTTTATTTTGCCACTGGTCATGTAAAAATACTTGGTGCTAAAAATTTGAGCTACTTGTAATGTAGTCCAGAAGATTGAAGATTATTAACTGAAATTTGGAGTCACACATGTCTGAATGTTGGTCAGAACACTCTTTTATGTGTTACCCTGCAGTAAAATCTTGCTGAATAAATTCTCTGTTGCTCCTCCTTTGTGATTCTTCCAGGTCTGGTTTAGAGACTTTACCGCACAATGCTAAGATGCATTACAACTATGCTAACTTCCTCATGGACAGTGGACAGAAGCAAGATGCAATACACCACTACCAAACATCCCTCAGGTAAAATTGGAAGAGGCAGTTTGAATGGGCTTTGGTTCATGTATCTAAATTGGGGCTAATCCATTGGAATAAGGTGGGGCAGGTGGACGTGTGTATGACAGGCCAATACATAACCCTATATCTGCCCTTTCAGATTGGTGAGGGTTAAAAACTCATTTGTTATGCTTCTTCTTTTAGTTCTCTATGGATAAAACTGAAGCTGCACGCAGTTATCATATTTGTATTTTACAAGAAATGGTTTACTTAAAGGGAATATACATCATTTGCTTTTGCTGTAATTTTCAGAAATGGATGGAATTGGGGGGTTGGAAATATATAGCAAATATAGTTACACTGACTTTTTTGAGGTTTTGGGTTCGAAAATGCTATAAAAACCAAGAAAAACGATCATTTTCCTGTAGTCTGGTTCCCTGACTCCATATAAGAAGAAACAGAGCAGTTTACATACATTGGGGAATTGTAAGGTAAGGGAACCAGTCTAGCTGGCTCGTACCCGTTCATAGGTTTGTAATCGATTGCAAACAAGTGCGATGGTCAATTGGGGCCAGTATTTAAAAAAAAGCCAGTTGTTTCCAACGCTGATCGGCCGATCAGCGTTGGAAATTGATACAAAAATACCACTTTTCTTGAAAATGACAGTATACCAGGTGCCATGATTTTACAGGATGCTTTACACTGTCATTCACTAACAGTCAGCAAGGTATTTCAAAATGATTTGGTAGTTTTATTTTTTGATGTTTGCAAATGTTGTATTTTCCCTTTAAAGGGACTTAGTATTACAAAAAATATTTTGCTTCTCAAGAAAATCTTGTTAAGATCAAAACATCAGGTCCTCTTATTGATTTGTATATTTCAAGTCAATCCAGTCAGTAAGCAGTTCACAGCAGTTGAATTACGACAGTATGTGCATTACAATTCAAAGGTGATCATGTGGTAAATCTTGTTTTTCAGATTGTGGCCGGACCACGCGAGTGCCAACAACAACCTTGGTACACTGCTGAAGGACGACCCCCAGCAAGCTGAGGCTCACTACCGCCGGGCTATACTCATCAATCCTGCCCATGTGAGGGCGCACTTTAATCTTGGCAGTCATCTCAGGTAAGGCGGCACCCAAATTACTCGGCAATAGCCATAACACACATGTTAATGGGAAGTGGCCTCATCTGCTTCCTTAGGCACATGTCGTCGCGTCAGTGCAACAATGTCGTAACTCCATTCTGCAACAAAATTGTATCTCACGCGAAGATGCTCCGTGCAACAATGTCGTAACTCCATTCTGCTACAAAGTTGTATCTCACGCGAATACGCTCTATGCAACAAGGTCGTATCTCGACGTCCTTTGACTTTGTGTGTACATCTGGGTTATATTAAGTGAGATACAACCTTTTGACATTCTGAAACTTGCGTTTCATGTCCGGCCCATTTTGGGAGATACTACTTTGTTGCACGGACACGACAATGTGTAATTACATATCTTCAAATTCATGCTGTGCCCAACAGAATAATTCCACAGGGATTTTGGTACAGTTCAAAACAAGTCATTTTGAGATAATTGCAAGACTATGTCTTTTTATGCTTACTTCATTCAGCTATGTCTTTGCAAACAGAAGTTTTCGCTTCAGTAAGAACACAAATTTAAAAAGCTGAATAATAATAATTGACTGATTCATTGATCATCTGACAGCAAGCTCGGCCAATTTGAAGATGCCGAATTACTCTTTCGCCGTGCAATCCAACTGAACCCGGAGTTCGCCGATGTCCACACCAACCTCGCCTCGCTGCTGGAAGGCAAAGGTCAACTCCTAGAAGCCGAGCAACTCTACCTGAACGCCATCACATTGGAACCCAAGAATGGAGATTACTGCAACAATTATGGAGCCTTCCTGACTAATACAGGTGAAACAATTGGTGGAAATTGTTAGAAGAATCCCATGTGGATTATTTGTTGCGAATAGACAAAGCCAGTAAGTCCCGCCCACTGCCCACGTAAATAACAAGGCGTGTGTGTCCCCATCGCCACATTGCATGTCCCAGCCGTGGGCGTCGGTACATGTAAGCAGAGGCATGTCGGGCTTTTGGTCACACAATCAGTGATTGGTACAATTATCTGTGGATGAGTTTTAATAGATAGGTTGATAGGACCCAAACCTGATTCACAGTGTTAACCATATTCGCTGGTCTTTTGTGCTAGGAACCTTGGGAAATCTGAGAAACCATTCCTGGGCCTCATCTCCGGGCTGTGGCTACAGGAGATATTTTTGGCCCCTAAGGCCAGGGTTTTTTTTTCTCAAGATGGTGGATTTTCCAAGATGCATCTGTCCATTTCTCAACTCTTTTGCTGAAGCTTTGGGTCCAAAGGAGCCGTCTCCCTTTCCACCAGATTCTAAACTTGGAAGCATAGCTACAATTTTGATTTTGCTGAAAGCTCATAAAAGACAAAATATATTAAAAATGTGTGATTTAAAACACACAAGTAAAAGATGCAGCCGGAAAAAAAGAAGTAGGCGAGGAATAGAAAGTGTTTTGTTTTTTTACTTGGTCTAGCTTCTATAGGGGGATAAGGCTTAATATGGATCTGTGTTCTGCTTCAAGAACATCAAATCATATATTATTAGGCCGAAGTTGGTAGTATTTTCATTTTGTTTGGACATTAGAGACTTCTAAGTAAAGCTGAAGATGCTTCTGAAACTGGAGGCAATTAGTCTCAGGACTACAAAATAGGGAAATAAAGCCCCATGTGAACTTCTGGTGGCTCGGACCTAGGTATTGAATTTCACAGGACTAGGGGATTGTTATGGTTAACGACGTTGAGCATGAATTGATTTATCGTTGTATTGATGCAGGTCGGAACGAGGATGCACGTATACAGTATGAGGAATGCTTACATCTTCAGCCCAATCACACTGTAACCATGGGCAACCAGGCACGTCTCTTGAGAAGGCTAGGCCAGACGAGTCAAGCTGAACAACTCTTCTTAAGGTGAGATCTCAAAATTATTAAGTTATTGAGTCTAATTTAAATCCAAAGTTGTCCTATTCTAATTGGCCATGTGAGGTTTTTAAACTGTGGACACAATACTTTTCCTTTTTGATAGGTCCATTTCATAGCATTCAATATGTTGCATTGCATACCTTGATGAATTAATTGGGGTGGTTAAGGCCATACAAGGAGTAACAGGCAAGGTGCTTTGGGGCGGAACAGGGACTGACGGTTTAAGTAAAATGTAGGTCTCTCCTAAATGACAGCATGTCAGACAAAATAGTTTCACATGGCCTCAAGGTATATTCTCAAGATTTCATTCTGTGCTTGTTTAATTGGTAATTAAAATGATCTTGTTGGGCTTTACACAGACAATGCATTCTTTCCGTTTTCAAGAAAAGCAGTTACAAATTGAAAAATGTTCCCATTTTTAAAGCTTTTGGCGCATGTACTGGCGTTATGTTATTTATTGTGATATTTTCATTTTTCTATGAAGAAATGGGTTTCTTTGTCTTCTACTCTCAGGGCATTATCTCTAGAGCGTCGGGCTGGCTTGCTGGAAAGCCTAGGAGCTTTATACTTCAACACTGATCGTCCAGAGAAAGCCCACGATGCGTACCGAGAAGCAGTGCAACTCAACCCTCAGAGTGCCGAGACAAGAACACACTATGTGAGTCAATCTTGACCCTAATCATCCCCGATCCTTCAAAATCCACTTGCAGGTTTTTAGGATTTTGCAACAATGAGGAAGGTAGAGCCCAGCTACCGTTACTTGAAGAATCAAAATGTGCAATGAGGTTCCAACTCAGTGTTAGATATGGAGAATGGAGAGGCCTTTTCGCACTAGACAAATCTCGGGTTTGACGCAGGGTTGAAAACATGCGCCGTTTCACACTTGAGAATTTTCAACCCTGCGCCAAGCCCGTGTCAACCCTGGGATCGATTTCACACCGGGTTGAACTCAACCCTGCTCCAGACCAGGGTTGAGATTTTCAACCCGGGTTGAAATTCTTGCCAGGGTTCAGAACAGTAGTAACTGAGCATGATAAGCTTGATTTGCATGAAACAAGTGTGAAATGATGCGGGGTTGAATGCGGGTTAAAAAATTAAAAACTCAACCCCGGGGCGGGATTGGGTTCGCCCAGGGTTGAGTTCAACCCCGGTTGAGAGGCTCCAGTGTGAAAAAGACTTAAGAAGGTCCATGTTAATAATGCCATGGACGACTGCACTGTCAGAATGATCAATCAAGGAGTCAGCTCAGCGAATATTAGTGTACATAGTAAGGGATGTTGTTCAAATACAACGAATGTGCTTTTTAGGTTTCTACTGAACAGCGGTGGTTGCAATTAAAGTGTATCTTTGCTTATTTTATGAAAACATTTCAGCGTTCTGTGTGGCAAAGGAAAGCTAAGGGAAATAGAGTGAAATCATTTTTGGATAGGTTTGCAGACTCTGCAGGCAAGCCTGCATACAACCATTTGTTGGAGGAATTTACCCCAAGAGAAGAATGACAAATGTTGTTGAAACGCCCTCACAACGACAACAGCACATGTAAAGAGTGTGCTAGACACAGTATAAAGGACTTGTTATTGCTGTTATTGGTCTTTTACATTTTGTTCAACTGTATGTGTCGATACAGGGTCAGGTTCTGGCGACATTGGGGAAAGTGGAGCAAGCTGTCAAGGAGCTCCAGGTCGCTTTGGAATTAGATGCTGACTACCCGGAAGCCCATCGTCAACTGGCAAGCATCTATGTACTAGCTGGGAAACACAGAGAGGTACATTGTACACATTGGTGGTTCCATGTTTATATTGTTTTGTCTGTCTATTTTGCTGTATATTTGTCTATTTACCGCTGAGATGCTTCTAAATTGGCCAGGAGGTTTGGAAGATTATGCCAGACTAAGGAAGGTCGAGTCCGGGCACTGTCACTTTTAATACATGAGGCTCCTTCAAAAGTTGAATTACAATAAAATGTGCCATTACGTTTCTGCATAAATATGCACAGAATGTATATCTGTACACATTTCTTTTCAATTGAGAAATAGATTGAACAGAAACAAACTTTGTAGCACTTAGATGACAGGGCTCTTGTAAATGCTTGAAACCTAGGATCCTTTAAAGGGAATATACATCATTTGCTTTTGCTGTAATTTTCAGAAATGGATGGAATTGGGGGGTTGGAAATATATAGCAAATATAGTTACACTGACTTTTTTGAGGTTTTGGGATCAAAAATGCTATAAAAACCAAGAAAAACAATCATTTCCCTGTAGTCTGGTTCCCTGACTCCATTTAAGAAGAAACAGAGCAGTTTACATACATTTGGGAATTGTAAGGTCAGGGAACCAGTCTAGCTGGCTTGTACCCGTTCATAGGTGTGTAATCGATTGCAAACAAGTGCGATGGTCAACTGGGGCCAGTATTTGAAAAAAAGCCAGTTTTTTCCAACGCTGGTCGGCTGATCAGCGTTGGAAATTGATACAAAAATACCACTTTTCTTGAAAATGACAGTATACCAGGTGCCATGATTTTACAGGATGCTTTACACTGTCATTCACTTACAGTCCAGCAAGGTATTTCAAAATGATTTGGTAGTTTTATTTTTTGATGTTTGCAAATGTTGTATTTTCCCTTTAAGAGTGATTGATTTTGTTTTTCAATCTGCCCTGTGATAATGTTTATTATGTTCTTTTGATAGGGTTTGAAGCATGCCACAGTTGCTCTCCAGTTGGATCCAGACGCTGATGATGCCAGGAAGGCTGGACTGCTGTTTGATATCGGCAACTGCCTGAAAGAACTGGCCAGAGACCAGCAGGCTATCCAGGTACGCATAGTCATGACCAGCTTTAACCCTAACCATCCCAAATCCTCCAAAATCCTTTTTGCAAATTGGAGGCATTTGCAGGATTGAGGTTACATGGCAAAAGTGTGTTGCTGATTTCGGAGGACGCACTGTGTCAAGGTCTTGGGCCGGACCTTGTGTTGTTTATGCTCAGCCATGCATACATTTAGTCCTTGATTATGCTTGAAATCCTCCGTACTGCTCCAGGATGTCACTGGCCAAGCCTCAACATATTGACACTCGTAGCCGGAGGATTTTGCAGGATTGAGGCAGTGGTCATCCCTCCAAGAACCACATTCAAGAAAGAATGGAGGATTTCGCAGGATTGAGGCTATATGCTATTTTTCCATGAGGCCAATTGGAGGACATTGCAGGATTTAGGTTACATGTATATCCTAGCAAAAATGCCTAGGGAGTTAGGGTTAATAGAACTGTGCATGACCGCACGAGGGCACCATGATGATTTCAACCTTTTCAAAGTGTAGCGATCAGTCCTTTATATAATGGAATAATAAAGACATGTATTCATAAGATGGAATTTGCATCGGGGTGATGTAAATACAAAATTTGGTTTTGCCCTAAACCGACATATTTTACAATTACTGTATACTGAGCGTTGTCCGGAGTGATTGTGAGAAAAAAATCACAAACTTCTCAGGTGGAACTTGAACCAACGACCTCCTGTTTACTAGTTCAGACATCTTACCACTCGACCACAGAGCTTGCTGCAGTCAGTTGGCTTGTTCAAATCTGATACAGCATATATCAGAATCTGATATAAAGAGATGTCATGATGCCGACCCTGTCTACTGCAAAAAAGCAAACAAACAAACAATCCCCCCCCCTAAAAAAGGGCATTTTCCCTGCATGCATGTTTTGTTCTGAAAGATACCATTTTTTTTCCGGTTCTTGTATTGGAAAAATGGCACTTGTCTCAAAAATTGCGATTTGTACTGATTAGCGTTCTTTTAGAACTTTTCGAAAGTTTAGCCAAGTAATTTGGAAGTAGCCATACAGATCGGACATATCAACCCTGACCTATAGTACTGCTGCCCATGTTTCTACTAACCATTAACCATACAATTCCTCTGCACTTCAAATCCCTGCAAAACCACTTCAAATCCCTGCACAATTCTTGTGTGTGGTTAAGCTCAGGGCAAGCAGGCAGATTTGGTCACGCTTCACCGCTCTCCACAGTGTTTTGTGTGAAACAGTAAACACTCTACATGAGATAGAATTTGCGTCGGGGTGATGTAAACTCAATATTAGGTTTGGCCCTACACCGACGTCAGTGAAGGGCAAAACCTAATATTGAATTAACACTGACATAAACCTTCACCAAAAACTGACCTGAAGTGTTTTACATATTGCTCTGAATATTGGCATCTTTAATACTAGGACTAGGGTTAAAGGGAAAATACAACATTTGCAAACATCAAAAAATAAAACTACCAAATCATTTTGAAATACCTTGCTGGACTGTTAGTGAATGACAGTGTAAAGCATCCTGTAAAATCATGGCACCTGGTATACTGTCATTTTCAAGAAAAGTGGTATTTTTGTATCAATTTCCAACGCTGATCGGCCGAAAAAACTGGCTTTTTTTCAAATACTGGCCCCAATTGACCATCGCACTTGTTTGCAATCGATTACAAACCTATGAACGGGTACGAGCCAGCTAGACTGGTTCCCTGACCTTACAATTCCCCAATGTATGTAAGCTGCTCTGTTTCTTCTTATATGGAGTCAGGGAACCAGACTACAGGAAAATGATTGTTTTTCTTGGTTTTTATAGCATTTTCGAACCCAAAACCTCAAAAAAGACATTGTAACTATATTTGCTATATATTTCCAACCCCCCAATTCCATCCATTTCTGAAAATTACAGCAAAAGCAAATGATGTATATTCCCTTTAAGCAATGCTATCATCAGTATCAAGTGTTTTCTGTGGTGATTTTCAGAGTTATCGCGAGGCAGTGAAACTGAACCCCAACCTTAGCTCCGCCCACTTGAACCTGGGCGCCATGCTACACCTCAAGGGAGACTACGCCCAGGCAAGGAGGCATTACAACGAGGCATTAAAGCTGGACCCAGAGAACCACACCCTGAAACAGAACATAGCTAAACTCAACAGGGCTGTGGAGAGACTCAAGAAAAAAGGTAAAAGTCAACTAGAAATAAATTAATCCCGAGGCAGTACAAATAAAGCCAATAAAGCTGACAGGCAAATTTTGAGCTTTGACACTTTCTTCTGCTTGTAGTTTTTAGTGAAACTCCGTGGTCGACAAATCCGGTAATTGTCATTAGTGAGACGGCTACAAGTGCGCATGATTCACATGTTCTTAATTTAAGTTGCCTGGTCATTTCTAATCCTATTGGTCAAAGAAGCATCGACTGCGCACGTATCACCTGCGCACGAGTGACGTCATTTCGGAAATTGTTTCGAATTTTGGCTGTCGGATAATTCTGTACGAGACAAAAACTTTTAGACTAAACTCAGATTCTCAAGGGTTGGAAAGGTCAACTTTTGCAAATTTACAGAGCAAATGCTTGCCATCAATTCGCATTCTCGTTTGCTTTTCTTGCTGTCGCAACACATTTCTGACATCTTGAACTATTGGGGAAATACCAGTCAAAATTTGGCCCATATTTCTTTTACATACACCTATTTTCTCTTGAAAAATTGGAGAGGACAAAGCGATGATCTTTTGGAAAGAAATTTTAAATTATCATTTTGTACTGAAAATGTTTCTCTGAAAATTTATTTTGGAACTATGTTGTACTTTTTAACATACCTTTATATCGTTACAGTTGTTTTTAATGCTATTCCTCGATAATCGTCAAGGAAAGGTTTCTTAATAAAACATTGGACAGCTCAGTACTACATCTGAAATGTTTACATAAAATCTAAACAATTTTTTTAAAATTTATTTAGCTTGCCAGCTGATATTTATTTGCAGAACTCCAAAGAGTATATATTTTATATCAGTGTAGCCAGTAGGCTGTAACAATAAGTCTTATTTTTCTTTTGTTATAAAATTCTTGCCATGATTGCATTGATTATTGTAATATTAAATCAAATTTACAAATAATCAGCTATTTACATGTATTTCATTTTTTTTGTAACAATAATTTGTAACATGCTGTTCATTGTCAGTTGAGGCTATCTCAGTTCTTTCTCCAAAGGCTTGCATATTTTGACAGACATCAAGTTTAGCACATGTTAGACGTATTTGCAAAAATAAAACCAAACATTTTGTTGTATTCTTAGATTTGTTCTACTTACCATACTTTCTTTTCTGTTAATAAAAAGGCAGGACAAGGGTAAGATTACCCTACACATGCATATTATGTAGATGAAATTGACATGCATTGAGCCACAGCAAAATATTGTTCGCAGTAAGGCCAAATAAAAAAAACATGTTTAGCGTGCTGCCTTTTTGAAAAAAAGGAAGGAGGCCCTTTATTTTTTCTTCCAAAATGGCTGCCCGACCCGGCCATTTTTCAAAATGGCTGCCAGTTTTTTTTTTTTTTATGGCCGCCACTTGGACTCGGGAAATGACATACTAGCTTTATATGGGCTAGATGAAACAAAGAGGCGAAAATGATGTCACTGTTTAAAGTTGATCATTTTGGGTGTTTTGTTTTTTTAGTTTTTAAAAAGAGAGGGCCTCCAAAAAGGAAGCGGGCCGGGACGCCAAACATGTTTTTTTTCATTTGGCCTAAAAATATAATTTGTATTTAAAGTCTTTACTTTATTTTCAAGGTATAGAAACGGCCACATTTTAAGCAATTTTGTGAGTGCTTTTTACATACGTATGCAATCGTTGACATGCAATAAAGCGGTGTAATTTTTGGCAGTAAGCTTCAATATTTTTTGTTAGATATTTAAGAATAAAAGTACTTACTAATACTTTTAGTACACTCAGTGTAAAAAATTCAGATTTTTGTCACATATCAGATGTATCAAATCTTAGTATTACCAACATTGATTGTTCATAGAAAAGTATGTGTGTATATATGGTGCCCATAGAACAATTGGATAGATATTTGTATGTGATTTTCTAAATGTAATATATAATTGGATTGTACAAGATTTAATATATGGATTTAGAATTGCAATTATGTGGTGGTATTTGTCAAAATGTTGCCGATGATTTTGTGAAAGTTTAGTGTGTTTAACGCATACATTGTAGCACTTAATATTTTATTTTGATGTTTTTAAAATTGTTAATAGCACAGTTATCACATACGAGAATATAATTGTATGAGGAATTAATGAAAAGCTGAAATTGATATTTGATTAATCGGGTAAATTTGTTTTATGGAAACTGTCATATTAGGTAAACGTTCAATATTCACACAACCTTTACTTCTCAAAATTGATTACCGCAATTGATTTAAACGTCTAACTTGCAATTTTCTAGTGAGACTGACTGTCAGTCAACCTGTCAATCACAAGGTGTCATTGGCAATTTTTTTATTGTGAAGAGAAGATGCATTTTTTTTCTCCGGGCCCTCCGGTTTTCCTCCCTACGGAAAAATCAAACACTTTCGATCTCAGGCTGTGCTCTGTGGTCATATATGGGTCGATGTGGCCGGCAGCCATAGGCACCTTTTACAAGCCAGTGGCTTGACCACATTGTAGCCACGTCCTTCGCAATTCAGCTGTAAGGATGATTAGCCTCCCAAAGTATTTTTATTTTATTAAAAGTTTTGCGCAACATTTTTTTTTACAATTGTTTAAGTTTTCAATGGTAGAAATCAGCTGATCAGGAAGAGTTGTATCAAACAAACATTTGAAAGAAATCTTTCTTTTACAAGTTGGACACTTGAGTGAAATTTCCAAATTGAATTTGTAATGTGTGATGTTTAACAAGGGCGGATCCAGGGGGGGGGCCAAAGGGGGCCATGGCCCCCCCCCCCCCAAACGAAACCAATTTTTTTTTTTTTTTATGTGACATCGCAATAAAGGCAGGCAATGAGTACACCACCATCTTTTCCTAAAAAAACATTGGTTAAGGTGGTCAGAAATTGCCTCAGATCGCACCACAGAGCATCTAGAATCCAAAATTTTTTTTGGCCCCCCAAAAATTGTGTTCTGGATCCGCCCTTGATGTTTAAAGGCATATAGGCATTTGCATTTATCCCAAAAGTAACCCACCAAATTTGTCAAAAAGCTTACTTGAATTAAAGATCGAACTGGTACCCCCGTGAAATTATTCCGTCTGGCTTGCTGTCAATTAGAAGAATCAAAAATTTACTGTTTTTTTTTTTTGGAAATAAAGAGTGCTATGGACAAAATTGTGTTCTGTGATCAAAAGGTTGTGAATGGTTTTGCACTGTTTTCTCGAAAAGTGTACTATCCACCGAGCTAAAACTTCAACAGGTTAGGTTTTGAACATTCTTCTTTGGATTTTGAGTGGTGTTGTTATTATTGGAAACGAACAAAATGCATGAAAAGTCAATGATCCTATATGCCTTAAAATGAAAATAAAAAAAAAGATTATGATGACTAATTCACGTTATGCAGACATACAAACTTGTGTCATTACAATTGTAATTATTTTATTCAAACATTTCAAGATTTTGTATGAACAATCTCACCGAAGGCACATAAATTAACATTTTATTCTGGAGCTTGATGCAGTTTCATGTCATCGTTAGCCCTCAGTTAAATAATTGAAAGGAATTAAGTATTGTATTTAGTGTAATAGCCTTCGTAAATGCAACATAATTACAACTGAACAATGTGTACCACCAAATTTAGCTAGCTTTGCGTATTGTACTTGTCTACCGTTCTGGAAAAAGAACACAAAATATTAATTCATATTTAATTAATTTATAAAAATCAATTTTGTTACAAATGAAACAGATTTGTATGCAGATACTGCAAGACTTTGCATAGTTAAATTTTTACCCCGTTGAAAATGGTAAAAAAAAATGTACAAAATTTACATAAACAGGCTTCTGTACTTAAAATGGAAATTAAAGAGAAGGATGTGTCATTTCATTCCACAGCTAAAATTTGGAAAATAAAGCCAGGTTTTGTAAGCAATAAAAAAAATCAAATTAAAATGTGTGTTTATTTTTAATTAAAATATGTAGAAGGATGCGTCATTTCATTCCACAGCTAAAATTTGGAAAATAAAGCCAGGTTTTGTAAGCAATAAAAAAAATTCAAATTAAAATGTGTTATTAAAATTCTAAATGTGTGTCAACTTTTGAGAAAATGAGGTTGTAAAACATAACTCATATGCAAAAATTACTCAAAATTGGAAGGTCAAAGTGGATCACTTGGGGGGGGGGGGAGAAAAAAATTCTTCCCCATGAAATCTTGATAGACAACAATACATGTACTGTCTTCTCTGAAATTCTGATTGATCAAGTATTTGACACAAAAAGGCCATCAACAAATATTTTTACGTCCTCTTGGTAAATGCCAATAAATTTAAATAAAAAACAAAATTCTGAACCTTTCTGGCATTGTAAATTCAGCAAATCCCCATTTGTACGTGCATTGAATGCAAGTATAGAAATTCTAATTTCATGGCATTCGAATACCAGATGCTGTAAAACTTGAACTTGAAAATACCAGAATATTGATAGTTTAACATCTCAATATGATGAAGTTACCAATTTACAGATTCTGAGAAATGGAATGTAAAAAGGGAATGTAAATCACTAGAAACAATTCAAGAATTTCAGAAAGTCTCATTGAAAATCGTTTCCATGGTTTCCTATAACTATTTAAGACCTATTACATGTATTAACAATTCTATAATTTTGGAATAAAAAAATGAATACATATACAATGCCCACAATTAAGCTGTAACTTCGTATCAACTGCATTTTGAATAAAAAGAAATAAAAACATCAATATATTGTAATACTTCCTTGAAATGATGGGCAAAGAGTTCTCTGAAAGAGAAGGAAGAGGTTATCAAATTTTATCGTATCAAAGATGTAAGTCTAGAAGTGGGTTGAATATTGAATGATTTATTGCTACAACACTGAAGGACTTGAAATGCACACCAGACCGTTTCCGCTAACGGTCGCTGGAGCGTACATAGCAACTGATGGGCTGTGTGAGACATATTGGAGGTTTTGGCTGGTAACCTGCGGGGAAGAGGGCACCAGTGAATGGGGGAGCAACTGGTGATGTGTCACAGGGGTGGACTGGGAGCAAGGGTAGCCCACGTAGGATGAGGTGCCTGTTTCGGAGGATGAAGATGACGTTTGCGGGATGAGAGATCCAAGACCCCAAGTTTGGGGTAGTATTGGGCTGGTCAGGCACTGATCTCCACGGGGAGGCCACACGTTGGTGCCTCGAGAAATCGGTCGGAATGAACTCCCAGAAAACTGCGGGATCTGGATCCTTGAGAGACGTGGACGAGACATGCCTGGAGTGTGTGGATTCTGTGGAGAAGCGTTGGGAAAAGATGCCAGAGTTGGGTAAACCTGACTGGGCGATGGGCCCTCTCCTTGCAGACTGAAACCTGACAGATGATCACTGGATGCCTGCGTTGATTGACCTCTTGAGACAAAATTAATGGGAGAACGAGACGGATTTTGGAGATCGCTCATATCGCAAGGCGGAAGGGACGGTGGGAAATTAGGAAATTGACCCCAACTGTTGCTGGACTTCCAAAAGGGAGACAGAAGTTGCCTATCCTGGATTGGTGATAGGTAGGCAACACAGGGCATCGTGACGGGCGACACTCCTGGACGAAGACTGTCACGGGCTAGGACAGACAACACAGCGGGATTGTCACCACCACAGACCCTAGGAGATCCAAACGATGGCAAATCCATCTCAGAAGCCCTAAGACTGGCGACCGATCTGGGCCTGTTGGAGGAGCCAACTGGTGATGGGTGGTTACTGGCATCCAGGGCTAAGGGCGAGCATGGTAGAGACTTGGAGCTTTTCTGCCCACGTTGTGGCCGAGATTTTTGTGGTTGCTCCTCTCGCTTCACTGGTACCTTCTGCTTGGGTGTCTCTGCCGATGAGTTATGTAACGGCCAAGCCAGTGTCTCTTCCCTGTCGCCGTTCAACTCCAAGCCATTCCTCCCCAGTCCTGGATTGTTATAAGCTATTTTCCTCTCCCTCCCAAGGTCACCATGTTGACCTGATACTGTTCCTAATCCAGCCAACATTGTATCATTGTCTCTATACAGTTTGTGCCTGTTGTCTGTACCATCACTTCTGTCTTCATTCGGTTCGTTCTTTGCCATTGCCGACTTGGGGGACAAACATTCCCCAGCGATCTCAGTCGAGTGTGAATCCTGGGTGCTTTGGCCAGAAACATCTGCGTTTCTGAATTCGGGACACAGGTGCAGGGCTCTGGCGGAGGAGGGCTTCTTGAAATCCTTGGCCGTCTTCTGTCTTAAGTGATGCCCGCGTTGCCGAGGGGACATCCTGTTTTCGGCCGTGCCATTAGTTATCTGAATACAACACACAAAAAGAAAACATTGGAGATGAAAGAGAAATTGCTTGGTAAGATTGTCCTGATGAAACCGTGCAATTTTTTTTTAAAACCGTCCAACTTTGGCTAAAATAGCACAGAACCCAGCATCAATCATGTGAAGTGCGATCATTTTTTTAAAATACTTTGAGACATGGATATTTCTGGAATTATTCTCTGGATATTCACTTTCCTTCAGTTGTGTTTGTTATTTGGTATTACTCATATCTGTAGAATGAGGGGGGGGGGAAGGAATCAAAAAAAGTTAGAAAATCCTCTAAATAGTTTCACTTGTCAAGCTGGAATATAAACTTATTAGTATGTTATTTTTCCCCTTTTAAACACTTTTCATAAAACTGTTGGAACAGTCATGCACGAAACAAAGGTTAACGCAAAGAAAAATGCTTGCTGATGCAAGAACAAAAAGTGAATTAAAATCTAAATTCAACACAAAACTTCATCAACAATTACTTCTTGAAAACTTGTTCAAATAAAAGTGAAATTCTTGAAAAAAAACAACCAATATTGTTTTTGGGGGTACATTTTAATAGCGCTAGACATCAGAACGCAAAGTAAATGTAACTGACCGAGATTAGTGTTATTATCTTGTTAAATGCTGCATCAATTTTGGAACTCAATGAAACAACACCAAACTTCGAACCAACAACAGTTGCATTTTTCTTTGCATACCTTACTACATGCATCTCTTTGAATGCCTGTTTTCCTGTGCCTAACTTTGGATTTGTCAAGTCTCAAACCTTTGTCGTCCTGCGTCTGTTTCATGAGCTGCCGACTGTCTTGCTGTCCTCCTTGCCCCACACTAGTTTGTTCTGATGCAACTTCATGAAACAGCAGTTGTGTCGTAGTTGTGACATCTTCTCCGTCGCTCAGCCTTTCCGTGCATATAAGTTCTGGGGTGTGTTTAGAGTTTGGTTCACTGGTGGCAGTTTGTGGAATACTTGGGGCAGCATCATGTTGTGTGTGATGTTTTACAGTCACTGTCTTTATAGGTGCAGCACCTACACGATTTATGAGAATTGCCTGTTGTGGAGCTGTAAGCCGTTTACCACTGAAAATAGTGCCAGGTACCAGTGTAGCTGTGACGGTACCCCGTGGATGGCCACTAGTGTCACCTGTCATGACACCAGTAGGTAACGAGGAATTTTTATTCAAGACGGAAACGTCTTTCCTGATGATGATGGTTTGCACAGGCTTCCCCGAAGCCTGTTGGAGCAGCTTCCCGTCAACTGGGATTTTCAGGTACCGGGTCTGTCCTGATTGATTCTGGCTTGGGAGGTCTTGATGGCCGCGTTGGAGTGCAAGGGCCGCTTCCACCTCCATCTTGCTTCTCTTGACTACGGGCTGGTACTCAAACTCCCCGCTGGTTGGTTGCTTGATGGTGCGCTTGCTGCGCCGCGTGCTGTCCGGCTGGCGCAGGACCACGTGCAGCGCGTTGACCGTGTCAGTCAACACGGAGTACTGCCCAGAGCTTGTAGCAGCGGTGCACAGAACTGCCTGGCCTTCAGATGAGGAAGGCACAGAGCCTTTGTCGGGACTCAGAACAGCTTCCTCACCGCCGTCGGATTTAGCCACGTTAAACGACAGAGGAACTGGGATGGCACTGGACACAAGTCGGCTGGTGCCCACAGGAAGGGAACCAGGGATTGGGGACACTATGACTTTAGGATTTAGCGGTGCCACTCCGGCTGTGTTTCCCGGGGTGCAAATTGGACTTGTGATAGGTACTGCGGAGCTGGGGCAAGCTCTACTTTGGGTACCGGTATCTCCTTGACCGTGTTCTTCTTGCTGGTTGCTGACGTAAATCTGGGACATCTGGTCTGGGTACTTGGAGCGAAGAGCCTCAAAGTCCTGGCGAAATTTCTCATCTGAAAAGAGGGCAGAATACAGTTATACTGATAGGGAACGCTGTTAAAAAAGGACAATCATGGACACTATCGGATAGATTTCAACGTCCCGATTTTGCTTCTGTCAGCATCCTGATTGCGCTTTTAAATCTTCTAACCCATTGCAATCTGCCACTCTGCACCCCCTTGTTACGCCACTGCATAATCTCACTCCAGTATTATTTATAAGTGCTTAATGTTAAAATCAAATGGATATTCCATAAACCTTTTTCTACATATATTTCATAATCACGGACCTATATGGAGCCGTAGCATACTCCAAGTCAGACCCTGAAATCTCTCGAAGCCACAGCAAGGGATGAGAGCCAAGGTTTGGAAACTCCCATTTACATTGTAGTATAGCCCAAAGTCAAAGGTCATGGAGACGCTATTAAAGCAGAAAAAAATACTGCTTAGCAAATTTACGTACTCAGCAGAAATCAGTGGGAACCAGCCACAAGCAATATACATTGCACAGCATTTTGGTTGGTAACGTGTTTCTGTTAAGCAAATATTGTCTGTGCTTAGCAATTTTTTTTTGTCCCAACAAACTCTGTGAAGTTACCCCCCGTCAGTACCGTACCTAAAGGAGTGTCCTGTGGCTTGTCCCCTTGGCTGTCTTTCGTCGGGCTGTTGGGTGCCGAGGAGTAGGACCGTCTCTCTCTCTCAACCACCTCACAGATGGCATTGAAGGATGCGTGCCGGGACCAAGCAACCTTCTTGGGGCCTCTAGGATTGGAGGCCGGGGACGAGGAGGGTTGGGGGTCTTGGGAAGGCAGGGTGGATATGGGAGCTGTGGGGACAAAATGAGTCATTAGTTTCATCTACTCAGCAAAGTCCACTTTGTAAGTTACCTGCGTGACACGAAAGATGCCTTCATTTGGTAAATCATGGAAATTTCAAGGCTATTTGGGTTTTTTTTTTAAATCGGAAAAAGCTTTAAGTCTCATAAAGAACACGAAAGGCAAACACCAACAATTTCAATGTTTTGAGTCTTTTCAACATTCCAATGCCAGAGGGTTTCATTACATTAACATTTGCAGTGAGGTTTTCTGATGGTGTTCCTCCATTTTCAACTCGGAACAGAAAGTAAATCCCTGAATAGTGAAAGAGAAAAACTCTATAGATACCTGAGCAACACTGCTGTAAGTAGGCTACAGTACAGTCCATTAACAAAGTAAATTGGGAAAATTGTCTTTTGTATCGGCGGGAAAATCTGTTTGCTTCGTGACATAATTTACAATTAAAAAAAAGGAGGAAAGCATGTGGGGAAGAGAGGGATATGATACTGAAAGCGATTTTGATTTACCAGCTGGGGTCGAGAAGAAAGATTGTCTCGATGGACCGTCATTCTCCACACAAACGTCACCTGAACGGCAATCAAACACAAACAAATTTACACAAAGAAATTGGTCTACTAACAAAAAATTGGATTTTTCCGTCAAATTTTCCAAAAATGTTTACACAGTTGACAGGTCAAACTGCAATTTCAGCTTTGCTGGAAATTAGCAAATGCAAATATCACTTGAAATTCTAAACAAACACTTTGCTCGTATTTTTGCTCCCTGAGTGACTGGTTTTCTTTAATCACAAAAGACTTAGCTTTCCTGGAAAGGGAACTTGCCTCGTTACAATTTTGTTTGTAAGAAGAAATTAAACTCGAACACTAATTTTCTAGGAACCTTTGCATGCTTGTTCAGAATTTCATTTTATGAGGGAAGCGTATGGAACTGGGCTTTGCAGTCGGCCACCCACGTGGGAATTTTACTCAACACGACAAAATATGAATAAACATACATGATTTTCTTTTTGTCGAATTCTGTAAAATGAATTTAAAAGTCACATACTTATGGTTCTGCAGAGTGCACGCTCTTACAAGATTGAAATGAAATGTCATGGGCCTGCTCTGCAAAACAATGCATTTGTGCAACGTTGACTTTCTGTGTTACCTACACGGCATGGCAAGAAAGCCAAATAAGCTGGGATTTTGAAAGATTGTGGACCTCTTTTGGATATTTTGTTGTACAGCTTGTGTGTTTCATAAAGAAATTGGTCCTTTTGTCAAAAAGAAAGATAAATCTCCATGAAAAAAAAAACAGGCTTTGAAGAACTTGATCTTTCATTAACTTATACAATCACCCCCCCCCCCCAAAAAAAAACCCAAAGGAATAAATCAAAACTGTGGCGAATTTTTCTCCAAGCTTGAAATGCTTGAAATAAATATATCTGACACAGGACTCAATTTTACAATGTGGTAATGTATTTTTAAGATTTGTTTGCAAATGGGTAGTCATTCTTACTTGGGTCCACATGACGTGTGTCTGGGTTGGGCCCAATCCACTTGAACGCAGGCTTCCGGCCCCGCCCTTCTTGCACGTGCACTTTCTGGATCATCTGCAGGCTGGTCAAGATGTTGGCTATGTCGTACAACCGTCGCACTTTAGCTGCAGAGAGAGATATTGCATCAGGATTCAGTGATTATCATTTTGTTAAATTTTTATTTTTAAAACACAGCCACATTCATAGAGCTGCTTAAAGGGGTACATCGTCTTGTAATCAGCAAAATTGTGAAATGTTTACGATTGTTTACTTTAATTTCAAAGGTCTGGCTAAGGAGAAACTAACCTAATTTCATACTGTTCCTGAGAAAAGACAACAACAAAAACCTAGTCGTTCACTTCCGACGCGGCGGACATTCTGTGGCATACACGTACGTATTTCCAGACGTAAATATAAGTCTCCTTCTTGGGCGTTGCCCCCCCCCCCCAGCTTCTGTGTCCATGTGTCAGACGATTCAATACATACACTGTGCGTGAGTGTGTTATGTACACATGTGCACATACACTGTGCGTGTTATGTACACATACACTGTGCGTGTGCGTGTTATGTACACATAATGTACACATAATGTACACACAACACAGCACCAATACACACACGTTGCAACTGAAATCACGACTAGCACCAAAATAACTCAATTTTGGAGACTCAACATTTTAACTCCCTGAAATTCATTCTCGCAAGAACACAAAAAAATGGCCACTTTTGAAAGGATGGTTGTGTGGATGTTTATACTCCACTTTTAAGTGCTGGGTCATTCCATGCCAACTCAACAAATGGTGCACACCATCACCTCTTGGATTTTTTTCTTTTTTGGTGTACTGAAAGATACTTAGGAGAAATGCAAATTCTGAAAATTTGGGGTCTCTACGACTTTTCGTTCTTGCGCAACAGCATTTTGAAATTTGAGGTGGGCGGGGCCAAAAGTGCGTCGCGTCACGAAATTCAATGTTTAAAGGGCCATATATTTAAAACTATACCCCCCAGACATTTCAAACTTGGTAATCTGGGCTACTTTTTGCTGTACATTTCAAATATTTAAACAGAAAGAAAGTAGCTTGTTTCATTTTTAAGTTAGAGGGGCCCCAAAATGGCCCAAAACTCATCTGGACCAATGTTCGAGGGGGTGTAAGTCAAAAATTGAAAATATTTTTTTCACCAATTTTTTTGCCTGTAATAGCCCCCAATTAAAACTACTTTCATGTAAAATCTTACACTTATATTAACTTCATTGAATGAAATATAGCCCTTGCAAAAAGCAAAATGTTTATTTTTACGACAACTTGACCCCCCCAAAAACCAACGTCAGACATTCCGCACCAAATTTTGCTTCACATATGTTTGAGGTTGGTCCTTAGTGAAGTCCTCTGAAAAGTTTCATGTTGGTGTCTAAATTTCTTCAGTGGATAGCTGGGCTTTATAAAGAGTCTATATCTTATGATGCTGCAGGTTCCGTAACATACATGTGCATTTACATGTACTTGTATTTTACGGAACCAGCACAACAAAATCCCCCGACTGTTGAAAGACTTGGGTCAAGACTACCCATTTCCTGCTCAATAAACAGTTGCTTGTAGACCTATGTGTGCATTATATGCAAATTAGGTTAAATGACTTGAGAGTCTAATTCTTTCCATGTGCTCATCACACAGCATGCATGTCATGTATGTAGTAATTAACCAGTTCTCACTTGCACAACATAGTATAGCACTAACCTGAACCAAAGAGAAGTGATTCAGTTTGAGTAGAAGGTCTATGGTTTTAACCTGATTGATCTTAGTTTTCATTATGGATAAGGGGAAACCTAGTTCATCCAAGGAGTTGCATGTATGCTCAAACTCATCATGCACCAATTGTAGCAGCTGACCTCAACCCAGGAAAATATGTTTGTGACTTTGTGTGGTCTATGATGATGTTTGGTACATTGCTAAATTGTAGAAGATGTACATGTATCACAACTTCATGAGGATGTGTATGTCTGCTTCATGTACAGGACGGAATCAACAAATACTCTCTATTGGCCACAAAGAGAGGATAAATGTAACATTCCATTTGTTGATGTGTTGTGTTGCGTACCAACACCAGAACTTCTACATAGCGGTGGAAGGCAATACAAACTTAGTGAGCCAACCATCATGCAACTCATTCAACTTCATCAAAACTACATCACAAGGAATGCATAATTTCACCTGTGAAACTGTAAACAATTTTATCAACTGTCTACATGTACAAATGTAAGCTAAGTTTCATACCCAACTTATTCTTTATGTACCAACTGCTGTTTTATTCTATGTACGTGTACTTGTATGTTACGGAACCAGCACCGCAAGATATAGACTCATTATAAAGCCCAGCTATCTACTGAAGACATTTAGACACCAACATGAAACTTTTCAGAGGACTTCACTAAGGACCAACCTCAAACATATGTGAAGCAAAATTTGGTGCGGAATGTTTGACGTTGGTTTTTGGGGGGGTCAAGTTATCGTAAAAATGAACAATTTGCTTTTTGCAAGGGCTATATCTCATTCAATGAAGTTAATATAAGTGTAAGATTTTACATGAAAGTAGTTTCAATTGGGGGCTATTACAGGCAAAAAATTTGGTGAAAAAAATATTTTCCATTTTTGACTTACACCCCCCCGAACATTGGTCCAGATGAGTTTTGGGCCATTTTGGGGCCCCTTTAACTTAAAAATGAAACAAGCTACTTTCTTTCTGGTTAAATATTTGAAATCTACAGCAAAAAGTAGCCCAGATTACCAAGTTTGAAATGTCTGGGGGGTATAGTTTTAAATATATGGCCCTTTAAACATTGAATTTTGTGACGCGACGCGCTTTTGGCCCCGCCCACCTCAAATTTCAAAATGCTGTTGCGCAAGAACGAAAAGTCGTAGAGACCCCAAATTTTCAGAATTTGCATTTCTCTTTAGTATCTTTCAGTACACCAAAAAAGAAAAAAATCCAAGAGGTGATGGTGTGCACCATTTGTTGAGTTGGCATGGAATGACCCTGCTCTTTCCAATTAAAATCATTTCGTTTTTGCAAGCATTTTGTAGCTCAATTGGGTGACTTCCAGGACGCAGTGTCCCTTTAAGACTGGAATTTGCCAAGCATGGAAGTGATTCATTTTGCGAAAAAAAGCCTAACAGCCAAAATTCCGGCCAAAATTCTGCTTTAGCGCAAATTTTTTTTAAGCAAAATCTTTCTGCTTAGCAGCTCTTAGGCTGAGTGAAAAAAAAATAAGTAGTTTCTCATTTGGCCTTTTTGAAAAAAACGAGGGACTTGGAGGCGGACGTTTTTCTTTTTCTTTGCGAATTTTCCAAGAAAGTAGATGGATTCTTCGATTTTCTTGACTACTTTGCTGATACAAAATTGTGTCCAAAGAACCCATAACCCTTTCTACATAAGCTACAATTTTGTTGGAAACAAATAAAAAGACAGTGTATTAACAACATATGTGCAAAATATATTGCAAATATATTAAACTGGCTAAATGACGGCAGGCAAAGGTGTCGCAACCCAGCCTGGGCAAATTTTGAACTCACTTTTGAACTTGGAGCCTTCCCTGATTTCGTAGTTGATGTCGCCGATCAACACTCTAGCTGCAATATCCAAGGTGATAACTTTGGCCTGGGCATGAAAGAAAGAGAACAAAGATACAAATGTATAAATTACTTCATCACTTACATTTTTTTAATGTTTCAAGGGAGAGTTGATGACACAATTTTTGAAAATAATGTAATGTTACATTCACAAAACTTTGAAATTCAACGAAATTGATAAAAGTAGATATAAAATACAGAAAAAGGGCCTATCAATGTTTTCAACCATGAATTTAACATATTATGAACACTCTACTGCAGAAAAAGACACACTGGTTTCATATTAAATAAATTGCGGCCTAAATTTGTTTTAGATAGTAATCACTGATCACGTTACCTGGGAAACCAAGAAAAGCATGATGAACTTCTGGCTCATGACGCCGAGGGACTTGTCTCTCCGCGTGTCTGGTGGGAACGAAACAGAGAAAAAAAAATGTTACCAGGAAAAGAGTCGTTGACAAAATGAGACTTTCTATTCTGAATTTTACACATGCAATAAAAACTGTAAATTTGAGTTTACAAAATGATACTTGGTTTAATAAGAAATGCATGGGTATGTATGTATGTACTTATTATATTAATTATTTCTGGTAATGAAACCAAGGATTCCTCAAAAGCGCCCTAGGCTCTGAAGCTCGCAAGCCTGAAGAAACCCGTAGAGAGAAGACAATGAGAAGAAATTAGTTTTAAAAGTGGGAGGAAAACCCCAGAACAATATTCTGGGGAAAACCAACGGAATCAGGCAGGGACTGAAAACCCAATCCACATATTGGCCCAGGCGCGATTCGAACCTGGGTTCCACATCGGTGGAAGGCGAGGAAAGAACCGCTACGCTAACCCAACTCCCCCAAAAAAGGGACGAACAGAGGGAGGACTATAAATAAATTGAAACGACCAAGGAAGGAACAAGCACAGAAACATACAAATTACAATTTGAGGAACATTGCTTTCTAAAAAAAAAGGCAGTGTTTTCTTGCATTTCTGTCTTTATTTGCGAAACCTGTGAAAGAACTTGTGAATTACTTGTGACTGGACTTGTGATGGATTGAACACAACACTGTCGTGAACTCACTCATATCTTCGTCGAATTTGTCCTTTATATCTTTCTTGTCCTCGGTTTCCTGGGGCTGGGAACCGATGTTGCTGATGTCTCGGAACGGCTGCTTGGACAGTTGCTCCAGCTCCTCGCTGAACTCATTCTGTATCTGAAGCTTCTTAAGATGGGCGATCTGGTCAGCATATCTCTTCTTCTCACCAAGACACTATTCAAAGAAAAGGAAAAGTAGGGTCAGCCATCACTGTGATTCTGTCTTAAATATAGTTTTTACAAGAATGAGACTCCAAGTGCAGAAAAACATGCAAAACTCTCAAAATTCCTTTGACTTTGAAGCTCAAGATATTTCACAAACAAAATGTGACATCTCAATTCAAATTAAAGCCCGAGTCCATCATTTGCAGCTATCCAAAAAAGTAACCGGCGTAATTATTGTTGAAAAACATACTGGTTGAAAGATAGTAAGGGGACTAAACTCCCTGTGAAATTATCCTTTCTGGCAAGCTCTCATTTTGAAGAAATCAACGAAAGAAGGCATTTCCAACGGTGATTCTTAAGAAGCACCGTAGGAAAATTTAAATTAGTAGTTCGTTTTGTTATTCAGCGAAGCGCGCACAAGTATTCGAACGACGCACACGCGGTTGTTATAATTCGTCGGATCAGTGCGCGACGTCGCGTATAGTTGCAATTCAAAACAATTCAAAACATGATTCAGCAACTTTTGATTTGAAATTGAGATCTTAGAATGCTGTTTTTCTCGGAATGTACAGCTGAAGCTTAGCTGAAACTTCATCAGGTTAGTTGCTCAGTATCCTTCATTAGATTTTGAACTCTTTTGTTGCTTCAAACGAACAAAATGCACAAATTACAAATGATGGACTGTAGCTTTAAATCTTACCTTGAGTCTAGCTAAAGTTGACTCCATGTTCATTTTGCCGTGCCACAGATATTTGTTCTTCGCCATTCGAGAAACCATCTCTATACTCTCCAAGACGTTGACAATGTCGTAAATTCTACGCCTCTCCACGCCTATGATGGCAGAGAGTAAAAAGGCAGACATTTTATTAATTTGCCTTTAAACATCTGGCCGTTTATTATCTGTAATACATGTAACTTTACAAAACTTTGAAACAAACTGTGATACACATTGTATGTGTTTCCAAAACAAGTACTAGAAATGACATTTTACACTAACTTTTTCTCTTCTGGGGTGGAAAGGGGAAACAACACTTAGGAAAGGCAACAAGATTGTTTTTGTTTAATATGACAGCAAGGCATTTTGCAATATGTCTTTGCTAAAAAGTCTTTTGCTGGAATGGAAGTGCCACATTATCTGTTTTCAAAGCTTTGCATTTAAAAATTGGCAGTGCTAAATCTGGGATTGCAAAAAACATTTTAAAAAATGCTCACCTAAGTCCTTGGAGATGGCATCCAGGGAAATCGCCATGGCAACACCATTTGCAGGGTAGTCTGGATATCTGGACAAAAATCTACATAAACAAAGATTTAGAACGATTAAAAATAAACGGTACCACTTCAGATTGCTTGTAAATTCAATGTAAACAACGTCTGGTTTTCAACTTGTGATAATTTTAATTCCATTTCGAAAGTTTTATTTCACATTTGAAACAGGGGGGAAAAACCTCATTGTGCTGACGGTAAGAAAAATGGAAAATAAATATAAAGCTCCAGACGTATTTTCAAAACAGACAAATACCTTTGACATAGCAGCCCCAGCGATTTGGACTTTCTGTTGATTGGCTTGTCAGTGTCGTCCATTCCGTCTTCTCCTTGCGACATACACTCAATCTCGACCACTTCTTCCTGCATGTCACCCAATCCCGAATCCACCACTTGCTCTTCCTGCAACGACGACGCGTGATCTGCAATAGCGTTGAAGAGCGCCAACTGCCGTCGCGAGTCCAGGACACGTATTTCCGGACTGGCGGCACTGATCAGCACTTTGAGGTTGGCGGTGGGTGTCAGTGGGCTCAGGCAGGGCAGGTGGATCAGGGGTTTGTTCGGCGTCGACGGAGTCACCTCTGGCTCCATCTCAACGGCTACCTCGTGACTGACCTCCGGCAAAGAATTAATATTTTCGAGAGGTTCCTGAAACGACACACTTGGTGCCTGGATCTCGCTGTCTCTTGAGTCGTGGAAGGCTGATGACATGATGAATGATTCTATGTTCAGTTCGTCTTCGTCACATCCATCGAGCGGCTGAAATTCCTCAGGAAATAGAAAGTTTGACATACTGGAAGCCAAGTCAGCCATCTTTCAGTTTCGATCTACACAATTACACAAATTAACACATTAGGCCCTACAAACATTATGAAAAAGTATAAATCAGACGAAAGAGGAATGGAAATAATCACATAAAAAAGACTTTTTAAAAGTGTTTTTAATTAAAAGAAAAAATTATTAAATACATGAAGACATTAATGTGACTAGGCCTACCTTATATCTCATCACATAGGGGCCTACATTCTTTTTGAATGAATCAAGTCATTGAAAATAAGTCATGTTACTTTTAGTACATGTACATGTACATAAGATTGGGAGAGATCAGTCAGACAATGCAGGCGCCAAAACTGCACATGATTGAGTGAGTCCATGGAGGTTGAGTCCAACTAGAACTGGTCATGTTTCTATTTTCAGATTTCAAACTCATGTGTTTCACTTTCATGTCTCTACTATTTAACAGCTGCTAGTTAAAGACGATGTTATGTGTGAATTTATAGGTCATTCATGGCTAAGCATCCCTTTCTTTACATGCTTTAATGCAATAATAATTCGTCCAATACTCACCTTACAAGCAGCTGGTCACTGGCGTTGTTTGCTGCAGCATTTGGTCAAGCTAGCTTAACGCTCCCGACACGTAGACAAAATATGGCGCGCCACTAAACTGATGGGCGGAATTCTGAATCAATCTACTTCCTTTCAAAATACACCCTATAGATGATTCTCGTTCCCGAAAATCTGTTCTTTCTGGTTCAATGAACTATTTTCTTCCAAACTGTCGAATCGGAGTAAAACTCTTCAGAGAAATTAGGGACAAATTTGTTGAGTTTTTGCAACAAACCACAGTTTATGTGCAAACGATTTCCGTTCAATTTACGCGCGGACGCTAGCTATTTGCATAAACTCCGCCCACAAGCCCAATTAGCCAATGGCAAACGCGATACATTCATGATGCACGCAGAATAAAGGTGACCGTTTCCAAAACGCTGGCTTCAGTTTTACATGTTTTTTCGAAGGGCTCTGAATTGGACATTACCGTCAGTGTTATAACCAATATAACTTGAACATAATTATGTGCTATATAAATGCGTCCTGGCTTCGAATTATAGAATGTCGAGTACATGCTTAAAGAAGGAGATAATACCATGCTGATGCCAAGTTGAAGCCACAAATAGTGTTGAAACCGATATTTGAGAAATGGTCATGTATGATGCAAAAAACGTCTCGTATCACTGAACACGGCGGAACACAACGCTCAAGTAGTTCTCATCCTTCTTGCAAAGTTTATCTCTCAATTTTCGAATGTCTTTCTCATTATGCATGTAATTGTTATGGGAAAGAGGAAACAAGGGAGAGCGATATTAGTGCTCATTTAAAAAATAAACAAGTTTCGACCAAAATCCCGATGGCCCCAACCTCGTCTTCAGGGTGTCGAGCAGTACGCGCCCACCACTACAGCTGCTCTCTCTACTATAGGAAACGATGTTGGAAATAAAGTAAGCATTGGGGACGAGGTTGCGATGGCCCAGATCGCGCGTAGTCTGGTTTCCAGACCAAAAGATTCTGACTATTCCCGATGATTCATCAGGTAGCAGACCAGTAAATAAACTTCCATAGACCCCAATGGTAAATGCTCCCACTTCAGAAATTCGGGAAAAATACTCACAACTCTCCAAGGTGTTCGAGACACACATCAAATTAAAGCTTATTTCATCATCTTTCATTATTTTCTTTTCAAGTTTTGGGGGGTCAACTAATGACTTTTAGGAGAAATTTCCATCTGAAGATGATCACCCCTGAAAATAGTCCTGAAGCCCATCGCCATTTTGAAAAACGATGCCTATACACTCCATTGCAAAATAGAGCGCTTTTAGGGTCCAAATTACATCCAAATTACACATAACTGCAAGCTCCCAGTCCTGTGCACGGCTTCCACCCATATTTTTTACAAACCCTCAAGTTCATGGCCCACAGCATGCTCGAATACTGAAGAGTTTGCAAGTCGTGATTTGGCCGGCGTAGGCAATTTCGGACCGATTTACTGGTCTGCACCCATCAGGAATAATAGTCAGAATCTTTTGGTCCGGGAACCAAACTAAGATCGCGCGCTGTTCGCTCGTAACCCCCCCCCCCCCCCCCCCCCCCCCGCCCTGCAAACAGCAGGGCGGGGGGTACGAGCGAACGCGCGCTGTTGCATTATCGCTGGTCACACGTCAGGTACGCGCAGGGAGCTTCGCTCGTACCCCCGCCCTGTTTGCAGGGCGGGGGGTGCGAAGCAGGGAGCCAGGACAATGATGTTCGCGCAGGCGCCAAGTCAAGTCACTGTTGGTTCCTGCTCGAACTTTCTCAAGTCTAATGGTGGCAATCCACTGAAAGACAATACATTTCGGTTGTCAGTCATAACCACCAAAGTAAACCCACAACATCTGTTCAATGATTTGGCGATCAACGGGGATCGATAAAGTACACTTCGAAATAAGGCTCGAAATTATTAATAGTTATAAGTAATAATAATAATCATGCTCAGTTTTATAAACTACACAGTTAGCTCCACGTACTGGTTACACTGCTCTCGAATTTAATATCGGAGACAGCAGATCAATTGAAAAATCAATCAAAAGTCAGATTGATCTGTGATGAAATTTGTCCTGGTTTGTTTTCCATTTTTTCCCCTCCTGATGTTGTCGTTTCAAGTCAGAGTGACATTCATGTCAAAATATCTCCACCAAGTCAATACTTAATCAGTCAACACATTAAGTACAAAAACCGTATAAAAGAAGCACATTTCTCCTCATGTTTCGCCACTTTTTCACCGCAATCCTGCCGACTTGAAGCCTGCGAGTGTAAGACTCGAACATCTCAAGATGAACATACTCGAATCCAGTGTGGTCCTCGTGGCCATGATTTCAGCCGTCTTTGCCGGGTGCGGGCCATCCTGCCCGGATGGGTACCTCAACTGGGAACACGACTGCTACAAGCTTTACGATGTTCAAAAGACCTGGGCCAATGCTGAACAACATTGCGTGTAAGGACTACATAGTTTTCATAATGTTTGATATTGCATGTTTTCATAACTCATAATCTCGAATCCATAAGAGAATAATGACATGCATGAAATCATGTTATTAGGCCTTTTGGATATTATGCACCCCTTTTCTGCATTGTCTGAATATTCCAGGTAACTCTGAATGATTTTGGGTTTAATCTGAACGGTATGATTCATAATTTGATCAAGACCTAATCACAAATTAATTGTAAGTTAACGAAGGGATAAAAAAATACACGTACATGAACGGGTCTGAAGTAACATTACTTTTCTTGTCAATCCAACTTGAAGTTCTTTGATGCTTTGAGAGGAGGCACTATGTTTGAGACTTAGTTGTAGCTGGATATTGGTGTTGATGACTCAACAAACAATAGTGAAGAAGAGAATAGTAAAATACAATAAATCGACCTCTTTTTGATTTGAAAATGATTTTTGCCGAACATTTTTACCTTTTTCTTAATTGAAGAGTTGTGTCTCCCTCGGGAGTTTGAGCTCGGGACTTTCGCGCATCGCAAAAACCCCAAACTTTTACAATTTTTGGGGTGCTCACAACAAACTCAATCAGTTGGTCCAGGAAACCTATAGAAATATTGAAGAAAGGATGGGCATGAGTGTGTATGTGTGCAAATTTAACAAGAGCTCTAAGGTCAAAAAACAAAGTCTCCGGTTTCTGGTATGGAGCTTGCCCAAAAAGTGGTGCGGCGACGCGGTTTTTTTTTTTTTTTTACCTGATTTTTTTGCTTCAAATGTCGGCTGATGACTGCAAATGGTGCCCGACTAAACTTAGTGCAAATATATGGGAGTCCAGAGAGGTCACATAAAGCTTATTCTTGACCATAACCCAATCTAAAAACACGTTAAAATTGTGCAGCAACAGGATTCCAGTCAAACGAGTGAGTTTGGCGGTTTTGAGACATCATCTTTCATTGAAAAAAAAAAACTTTTTCATTTTGCCGACGCGCATGGCTACGGCGACGCGCGCGCATACCAGAAACCGGAGACTTTTTTTTTTGTTGGCCTAAGAACAATTAGTTGATTCTTTTTGTAACCCTCACCCTAACCATACTATACCCCAACCCAACCTCGACCTAATCCATAACCCAACCATAACCCTAACCGAAAATGCTATTAATGTGCATGCACGTATAGTTTGAAACGTCGCACTACGGTGTTTTTCTTCTGGTTTTTAAGCGCTGGCAACAGAGCTCCTACAAGTCACTTTGGTGCCGGTCGGTTGGTGTCCCCCCCCCCCCCCAAAAAAAGGTTAACCAAAAACGAACCCCCTAAGTGTCCCATAAAACTGTAAGTTTTAACTGTCCACAAAAAGCAAACAAAATACATTAATTAGTTGACAACAATTGTTTCGTGACGTTGTTATGAACATTTTGTACGTGGAGGCCATCACCCCCGCCTCTGCCCCTGTGCCTTCAGTCTTCAGGACGTATACGGGTGAGGAGATAGTTAAATTGTGAAGGTCACTATTATTTTGCATTGTGAATTTCCAAGACGACCGGAGCTTATTGTGCAGTCGCACTTGTTTTTCTCCAGAGCCGACGGGGCCCACTTGGCGTCAATCCACTCGGCCGCCGAGGACAACTTCCTAAACCTCCTCTCCCAGCAGGGCACAACCGAGAGCAAGCACACCTGGATGGGCTTGAACGACCACGCGACGGAAGGAAGCTTCGTGTGGACCGACGGTTCTCCTTGTGACTACTTCAACTGGCACAACGCAGAGCCCAACAACGCTGGAGCCGGGGAACAATGCGGGGAGATCAACTTCTTCGCCCTGGACGGCACCTGGAATGATCATTTCTGCAGTCGGAACCATCGGTTCATCTGCAAGATGCCTCCAAGTTCTCATTAAACGGCGCAATAATTAGTGACGACCCATCACCGTTGCCCTATATAGATCTATAGTTTATCATGAGCTGCATGTAGCTGTTTAGATTTGGCAAAAATGTCACAATATACATTTAACTCAAATTAATAAGGAATTGTTAAGGCCGGTTCATACTTCATGCGAATGCGAAGACGATGCGAATTTGACGTCACGAAGCATCCCCCCCCCCCCGGCGTCACAAATTCGCGTTCGCATTCGCTTTCGCACCGATATGAACCGGCCTTCAAGCTTTTAGAATTTAGTTAAAAATTTCATTTGATATTAACAAAGGGTGAAAGTCTACCTAATTAGGTACGGCCTAAGTATCAAAATCACAAGATTCAAGCTTTGATCGCTTATTAGTGTGAAGTCACCACATAATCCCTTTGATTTGATTCAAGACCTTTAGAATTTGACCTTAAGAATTTAAAGGAAGGAAAATAAAGATATTTGGATCAACCATCCATGAAAAATATGAACCCACCCAGCCAATTTTGTATCGCTTACTTTACCATGTATAGTTACATGTAGGCCGTGTCGGAAAAGGGTTCCATGAGATGCGGCTACGTCTAGCTATAGGCCTATCTCATGCGAAACCATCTTGGAAATCAAAGCGAGGCATCTAACGCTAACAAACATGGCGGCGTCACTGTTACAAAGTTCCAGCAGATTGGCAATCTCATAAGTGGATGGCCATGGATACTTCAAATTCCCCGAAACATCAATCCAGATTGGGTCACGTCTCGGATTCCATTTTGAAGAAGGATCTTATAATATAAAGCCCAAACCAGTGGCCGAACTGAAGTTTCCAGAAATCTCACTTGGCTTTATAAATATGGCTCAAAATAACCCGATTCTGGTTTGCCGATCATCATTTCTGATTTCCTTTCCACGCCTAGCAGGCTACATTAGATACACCTTCATGCTTAGCCAATTTTTTTGAGATTTTTTTGGCTGGTGCCCTGTTGCTGATGAGCGAATTTGTGTGTTTAGTATAGCTCCCTGAAATCAGTGACCCATTGAGAAATGGCTCCTTGATAATTATGATCAGACGTTCACGTGTGCGCAGTGCAACGTCTAAATATATCCGGCCGAGCATTCAATTGTTATGCTACCTCGCGCGCAGCCAATCGAATTTAGAACAGGGGCGTAGCTACAGTGGCGGGGGGGGGGGGTGCTCCCCCAAACTCCCCCTCCCCAAAAAACAAAACAATGTCGCCCCCCCCCCCCCAATCGCACCCCCACTGGCTAGTTGGCAATCGGAAAAACATCACGAAACCATGATTAGCGGGTTTAACATAAAGTGCCTTTTGGTTATTTATTTTGGGCGAAAAGTCTGGGTTTTTTTTTTAGCGATTAGCCGTTTATTTTAACGTTCCGAGTAATATTGTCTGAGACAATGAATTCGGTTTTGAACAGCGCTATCATTGAAAGATGGTGTCCAGCCCCCTCCCCCCCCCCCGACCAGCTTTATAATTTTACGAGCTACAACCTCGTTCCCAGGGTGTCGAGCAGTACGCTCCCACCACGTATACCTGCTCGCTCACCCTGGTATTGGATCAGTAGTATATCCAAGTTTTATTTTAGATACGTATGCAAATGAGGAATAGTCTGGTACCTGCCTGTGCATTAAATCAGCGTTTGTTTTTTGTATGTGGTGTCTGGGTGCAAAACGAATCGCGGCGTGAATTACGAAAACACGATTTTGTTAAAATATTACAATTATCTTATCCATATTTCATATAAAATAATGAGCAAATTGGAAAGGAAAGGATTATTTTTGAGAAGGTGTGGACGTGATAATTACAATGACCGTGAAAACACGTTATACACGTTGGAAATAACAACACCAACTACACGATATAGGCCTACCTGCAAACTGCGCTATCGAACCAGGATACAGGAAGCAAGTTCCCATCCCAGGGCTTCAATAGGCTATTGGAAACGAGTTTGAAAATAAAGGAAGCCCTGGGGACGAGGTTGATAGAGCTTGGACCAAGCTCTATGCTTCAAAGACTGAGGTAAGTGCTCGTATTCGTGCGCCGAGAGTTCGGATCAGATGCCATGCAAAATCACGGGGGAAAAAAACAAAATCATAGAAAGATGCACTTTTAGGAACAGCTGTGGGTCAAGTTCGGCCCAAAATGGAGTTCAAAAGTGTCACTTTTTTCGTCATATATTATCTCAATGAAGTACGTGGGTCAGTCATAGTTGCAAAAATATTGAAAAGACTTGAATCTGGAACTGAGAAAAAAATCCCAAATATGTTTGAAAATACTTAGAACATGTTGAAAATGCACTCAGCTCTCTTTGTACACAACCAAATAAGTGGTGTCAGGATACTACATTCTTTCCTTTTTGAATGAATCAAGTCACATGTTCTTCCGCCATGGTATCAGACAATGCATGCAGGCGCCAAAGCTGCACACTGAGTCTAGATGGTATTATTCGCTCGTACACCCCCGCCCTGCAAACAGGGCGCTTGGACAGGCTGATGAGCTTCACATAATCTTGTCATAATTGCAAAAAGTGGGGTGGCATTCTGAGTAATTAATCATGACCTATGTATAAACACATCTGGCTGCAACTGTTTAAGACCACAACTAATGCGCGCAAATGCTATCCGAAAACTTTCTCATAGAAATACACACATTCCATACCGGATGTGATTTCTTTTTCATTGCGGACCATGTGGACACATTTCGAGCGTCGCATAATATGCAATTTGGTTGAGTCTCGATAGTCCAAAGTCCCATTGGTCCGAAGTCCCATTGGTCCGAAGTCCCATTGGTCCGAAACATACTACTGTGTACAAAAAAATGTAGTTCCATTACAATCCTATGGGGCGTCGGACCAATGGGACTTCGGACCAATGGGGCGTCGGACCAATGGGGCGTCGGACCAATGGGACGTTTATACCAATGGGACGTTTATACCAATGGAACGTATAGAGCAATGGGACGTCGGACCAATGGGACTTCGGACCAATGGGACTTCGGACCAATGGGACTTCGGACTATAGATACGTCCCCTGCAATTTGACCCCTCGTGAATTCGAAACAGAGCCTGAGCAATTGACGGGAATTGAAAATTTACAAAACAGATAAGTTTTACAGATGTTTCCTACATCCGATTACGCTTTTCAACGAAAAAAGCACTTATGAATGGGAATAAAAAGAGTGATGACTCGGTCTTAACCGCCGTTTCAACCTTGCAGGATCGTGGCCATGATGACTTGCAGGTCACAGCTCACGCAAAATCTACCCAATCAGAGCGTTAATTCATCAGCCCATCCCATCCCAGCGTCCTGTTTGCAGGGCGGAGGGTATACGAGCGAAGATAGTACTATATAGTAGTAACGTCAGGAAAATGTGGGACACATCTATTTTTGTCTTTACTAAAATGTGGAAGACAATGCAAGAGCATGTTTTACCATATCTTTAACAGCTGCTTAAAGACAATGTTATGTGTGAATTTATAGGTCAATTTATGGCTTACCACCCCTTTTATTTCTTTAATCCAAAATTATTCGATGAAAACTCATCTTGCAGCTGATGGTCACTGGCGTTTGCTGTAGCATTTGGTCAAGCTATCTATAAACTAAACGCTGCCTACCGTGGAAACAATATGGCACGCCATAACCGATGGACGGAATTCTGAATCAATCTACATGTATTCCTTGCAGCATACACCCTATAGATGATTCTTGTTCCGGAAAATCTGTTCTTTCTGGTTAAATGAACTATTGTCTTCCAAATTGTCGAATCGAAGTAAAACTCTTTAGAGAAATTCGTGACAAATTCGTTGAGATTTTGCAACAAACCACGGTTTACATGTATATGCAAACGATAGTACGCGCGGACGCCGGCTATTTGCATAAACTCCACACATAAGCCCAATTAGCCAATGACAAACGCGGGTATATTAACCTTTTAAGCACATTACTCATAGATTACTCATACATTACTCATAGAACAGCAAAACATTGAACATTAAAGAATAACATTTGAATTAACTTTAATGAAATGCCATATCCTGTACCATCACGCATTCATCACCAGTGTACAAAGCTTAACCGATAGAACACAAGACCCCGGATGTCATGACCTGAATTGTAAACAGGACAGAGGTCATGACATCCAAGCCAACAGTGTGGGGGCGCTGTTCCATTGTGATTACTGTTTTCACCCGAAAATGATAAAATATGCAAAATGAGGGTCGTGAGGCAAGAAGAATTGAAGAGTTCACTAATCAATTCAAATTCATGCACGCATGCGCATAAATGGGCCCAAATGCAAAAAGCGAAAGTGGCCCATTGAAAATGTACAGGGGTCCAAACAGTTTTATAATTTTTTCTCAGTTTCACCAGGATTTGTCCCATTTGTCTTTGGGAAAAGTCCCTGAAATCGTCACAGGTATTACTTTCTGGTCTAAGTTGTTTTTTTGGGGTACAAAATAAACTCTTTAAAAACGGCTTTCGTCACGTGCGTACAAGGTCCAAGGAAATCAGCAAGGCTCCTTTCCGCACAAGTGCCAAGAAATAACCGTATGCTTCAGGGTACCATCCACGCCGGCACACGATTTCACCCGTGCGTGCAACGGACGGACACGTTGACCGGAGATTATAAATGCGGGTGGGCCGCCCGACGCGAAAATCACACCTTCCTAATATACATGTACATGCATGTACACATGTGTAAAGAAGTGCTTGACGACACGAGAATGTTGCACTTTTTGCCGCTGACCAGTTAAGCGTGATTTTCGAATTCGTTTTGAAATATTCAACATTGTATCAGGATGCTGATATGATATCCAACATGTATCAGGATACTTTCGCATTTGTTTTCCTCTTTCAAGCCTATTCTTGGACACATATCCTGATTTTAAGTTCCAGTGTCTGCAAGAGCTCTTTTCACGACTTGGTACTCAATTAAAAAAATGAAACAAGTTCGACTAAAACCCCGAAATTTCTAATATCTCTGTTGCCGTATTATAGCTCCGTGGTTGCAGCATGCTCATGCATATAGGTTGACATTATCGCCAGTCACGTCAACATTAGTCTCGCGTTTCTTAATGAATGACCCAGCCAGTGATGTTAGTGCAGGCGCCAAGTCAAGTCACGAATCAACCATTGTTAAAATTGGTTCCTGCTCGAACTTTCTCTCGTCTAATGATGGAAATCCAAAGAAAAAAAAGCCTCAGTTGTCAGTCATTCAACAAAGTAAACCCACAGCATCTGTTCAATGATTTGGCGATCAACAGGGATCGATAAAGTACACTTTGAAATAACAAGGCTCCAAATTATTAATAATCTAACAATTAGTTTATAAGTAATTATTATTTGAATAATAATAATTTTTTGTGCTCGGTTATAAAAACCACACAAGAGTTCCACGTATTGATTACACTGCTCTGAAATTCAATATCGGAGACAGCAAATCAATCAAGAGTCAGATTGATTCTGATGAAATATGTCCTGGTTTGTTTCCCAATTGTTTTCCCTCCTAAGTTGTCGCTTCAAGTCTGAGTGACAGTCATGTCAACATAACACCATCAAGTCAGCCAACACAATGTACACACAAACTACAAAAACCGTATATAAAAAGCTCACTTCTCCTCACTTTTTCATCGCAATCCTTTCGACTTGAAAAGCTGCGAGTGTATAGGCGACAAAATTATCACGATGAAGGTACTATCCAGCCTGGTCCTCATAGCCTTGATTTCAGCCGTCTTTGCAGGGTGCGGTCCATCCTGCCCGGATGGGTACCTCAACTGGGAACACGACTGCTACAAGCTTTACGATGTTCAAAAGACCTGGGCCAATGCTGAACAACATTGTGTGTAAGGACAACAGTCATTATGTTTTATATCATCATAATTCTTCTCAGAACTAATATCTTCTAAGCAGTAGTTATTACCACATGGTGTTACCGCAAAACCGAAACGATACCGATACCCCACCATGCAAAGCCTCAAATCTTATATCATCATAATTGTGATTTTATAACCCTGATTTTTGCATCCATGTTATAATGGGAGTGATCCTTAAATGATCTGTATGCTCACAGGTTTATGAAATATCTGATTAGTCTTAATAATTTTGTATTTCAAAAAGGCTATTTTAGTGAGGCTTAGATGAAGAGTTTGAAGTTTAATGGTTCGGAAGTAACGTCACTTTTCGTAAAGCAACCTGAAGGTCCTCAAAGTTGTTCTCGGAGGCGCTCAATAGAGACTCCAAAATTGTAGTTCAATATTGACATTGACCCCATGAACAATTATTGGTCTTTAGGCACATCTATAATAATATACAGCAACATTTAAGTTTGTTCTACTGGTCTTAATGATGGGTACTGATTTGAAAATATTTTATTTACTAATCAATTATGTTATACCATGGAGTCTAATTAATTCACAGGAAGCTATAAAATCTGAGCATATCAGCGGGGCTCAGATTTCGCAGCATGCAGAATTATATTTTCAAAAATCCTTTGAACACTTTTCAGGGTGATCACAACCAAGTCGATCAAAAATGATTGATTATCTATGTGTGTAAGTTTATCAAGAGCTCGCAAGTACATGTACGTATGAACAATGATTGGTTTGGTTTCAACAGGCTGTCAATCTCATTGCATCAAAATTCATATAAATAACCGGGGAAAAAAGTAATGTGCGTAGTTCGCATGTGCATATATAGTTCGAAACTTCGCACTTCTTTGTTTTTTTTTCTCCAGAGCCGACGGGGCCCACTTGGCGTCAATCCACTCGGCCGCCGAGGACAACTTTCTAAACCTCCTATCCCAGCAGGGCACGGCCGGGAGCAAGCACACCTGGATGGGCTTGAACGACCACGCGACGGAAGGAAGCTTCGTGTGGACCGACGGTTCTCCTTGTGACTACTTCAACTGGCACAACGCAGAGCCCAACAACGCTGGAGCCGGGGAACAATGCGGGGAGATCAACTTCTTCGCCCTGGACGGCACCTGGAACGATCATTTCTGCAGTCGGACCCATCGGTTCATCTGCAAGATACCTCCAAGTTATCATTAAACGGCGCAAAAGTGATGACCCATCACCGCCGCCCTATAAATTGATAGTTCTATAGTTTATCATGAGCAAGTAAGAGAGATGACACAGAAACAATGCATTGCTGGCTGGAGACGTGGGTTTAATCTACGTTTCGAGACAGTAAAACTGCTCTTCTTCAGGAATCTATACAAGTGAAAAAAAAAATAATATTAACAGAGCGTAAACAAAATGAACATAAACGACAATAACAGAACTTATAACAAGTGGGATAATTGTTGTGATTGTGAGTTTATCATGAGTATACTTTTAAGCCACATAGATTTGCGAAACATGTCATTGTATACATTTTAATTCAAACTCATGATAAGAATTGTTAAGCTTTTCAGAATTCGTTTCGGACCTCATTGACTTAAACAAAAGGTGAAAGTCCACCTTAGGCCTATGTAAAGAAATCACAAGATTCAAGCTAGGGGTATTTCATCACTTGTTAGTGTGAATTCACAACACAATCTCTTTGATTTGATTCAAGATCTTTAGAACTCAAAGGAAGAAAAAAATAAAGATGTTTGGATCCACCATCCATGAAAAATATTGCTACACCAGCTGATTTTGTGTCGCTTACTTTACCATGTATTGTGTCGGAAACGGGCTTCCATGAGATGCGGCTACGTCTAGCTATCGACCTATCTCACGCGACACCATCTTGGAAATCAAAGCGAGGCATTTAACGCTAACAAACATGGCGTGTTTATGAGTTTGTTTCTCGATTGTCATTCCTATTGCCTGCTCCGGGCCCGAAATTGGTTGCATCATCATGGGCTCCTGATCTCCTCATGCAGACTCTGTTTTGTGACATCTGATTTTCTTTCCACCTCTGATTTTCATTCCCGATCATCATTCCTATCTCCTGCTCCCCTCCAAATTAGTTGCATCAGTGGATCTCCCCTGACTGTCTTTTGTGTTATATCTTCTTTTCTTTCCATCCCTACAGCCAGGCTAAATTGCTAAATTGGACACTACCTTCTACATGTTTAGCCAATTTTCTTGCGCTGAGCAGTCAATCGGGAACCGCCCTCAACCGATACGAATTTGACAATTTGGCTTGTGACCTGTGAGTTGTTGCTGAGCGAATGTGTGTGTTCACGTGTGCAGAGCAACCACTGATCTCCATTAGTGAGAGCAACACTATACGAACCTCTGATATATCCGAGCATGCAAATCTTATGTGACCCCGCGCGCCGGCCAACCGGATCGACTTTAGAAATTGTGACGTCATTTCGAGCAGAAATTCGGCCTAAGCTGGTGATTGGTCAACTATTGGCTGCCATGCATGTGTTTTTTTTTTAATACAACAACGGGTTACCGAAGACGCGATAGAAGCATCCGCTGAATGGTGAGAAACTGGAGGTCAAGACGCAGTCTTGTTTTGCATAATTAATTGCTGAAACTGCGCGAATATCTGTGTGCAAGCGGAAATACATAGTCGACGGATGGGGTAGAGGCTGAATGCTGAAGCAAAGCACGAGGCAACGCACGTGAGGTGAATACTTAAAATGCAGCACAATGTGAAGGTCTTTATTGTCCGAACTGTTCTCCACATTTTGAGTGACTTTGCATGTGACAGCCTGTTCGATCAACGACCCTTTTACCTTTTGCCGTGAAGTTGAAATGCAACTATAACTGCGAACGTCTCTGATGGAACTATGGAAGGCATATACGTCATATGGTCTTCATGCAGTTTGTTCGTTGCCAATAATTACACCGTTATAACCTGTTTTGTTGAAGTTTCAGCTCAGTGGATATTACACTTTTCGAGAAAACAGTGGAAAACCATGCACAACCTTTTCATCACAAAACACAATTTCGTCAATATTTCAAAAAAAAAAATCAGTCAATTGACTCAGTGATCGTTAGAAATCACTTACATCTCTTGATTTCTTCTAAATGACATCAGGCCAGATGGAATGACATCAAGGGGTGATTAGTACCAGTACGACCCAATCCAATTAAGTAAACCTTTTGATAATAGCTTGGTTTAGGTTACTTTTGGGATAACTGCAAATGATCTTATGCCTTCAAACGTCTGCAGTCACGAACCTCATTTTTCTTGGCTCCCTGCTTGCTGTCAAATTAAACACGAGCGGCTGGCTATTGATCACCAGCGATGCTTTGCCATTTAGTCAAATGTCGAATTGCGGTTGCTCCACGAAATACATTTTAACTATATTCAACCATAGTTCTTGATTTTACCATAGGACCAGCTCTATGAGCTTACTTGCTCAAAGCATATGCCTAGAACTCAGCTATACCCAGCTGTATACTGAGGTTCCCCTGTGCACGAGCTAATTGCGGTGTTCGGTATACCTGGCCAAGTTTTCGTATTCGTGCTCCGAGACGCATGCTTCAGCTGCCATGCAAAATCACGGAGGACAAAAGAGTAAAATTGTTAGAAGATGCACTTAGGAACAGTTGCGGGTCAAGTTCGGCTCCAAAAAAGGTTCAACGAAAACAGCTGCAGCCGACCAAAAGTATGAAAAATAGATGTTGAATTTATAAATGTTTCATGATAAAGTAATCAAGAGAGGGACCTTGGATGAACTGCAGCCCTTGCTTAATTTTATGTTCGAACCTTGACTTGCATTCACAAAAATGCCCCGCATTGCATGCATATGAGCTGGATGTATAGCGGCCAGCCGGATTATTAAATTCCAGCTCGGCGAAGCCTTTAAAGTAATCAATTATATCTAGCCGGCCAGGTAGATCTACTTAACCACTTTCCTTACCTCTCCTCGGCAACTCCCCTAATGCAACCAATTCATTGTAGTGTCTTACTCTCAACAGATATGATCCACGATGTTCGTTTTTTTTCTCTCATAAAATTCCTACATGGATAGGCCTGCGCATCATTCCTATTTTTCCAAAACTCTGGCCCCATTTGTTTCCGCGCCTAGCCTGCGTCTCCAGTTTTATAACCATGTCCCCCCTTGCTATCCATACAAAACAACTCGGCTCAATTTTAAGGGGAAAAAGGGCAAGTTTAATAGCCTATAGTAACTCAAGCACGAGTACACTTTCTTTAGATTAGACAGTGGTTGGAAATGAAAATTTCACCGATACCCTTTAATAATTAAACATTGCCTCTTAGATGTCGCCCCGCGATCGGCCAATGTACGAATCACGATTTTCCACCGCCATCTATAACCTCGGCAAATAGGGAAATTGTTGCGATGCCGTGCACGCGATCAAGATCTTAACAGCAATCAGTCGTCGACTCCGCCCTCCATCCCTCCCCCGCCTCCACCCCCCCCCCCCCCCCCCCCGCATGCTGAACAGTCGGAGCCAACGCGCGCCTCAGTATGATGCACGTGCGACCCCCCCCCCCCCCCCCCGCGAAGGACACTTCTCTTCGCCCTCTTTACACACAGCACACACTCTGTGTTTTTGCCCATTCGATGAGCAACGACAACACGCGACGTCGGCGAAATCAACATCAGCAAACAACGGCCGACCGCTCCGCTCCGCCTGCTGAGCGAGTCACAAGCTGCGCTGCTGCGGAGGAACGAAGAAGACTGGAGCCCCGCGGAAGGTGAGCTTGACAAAATGGATAATTTTCTCCTCCCTTGGTTCTTGGGTAAAAAGTAATGTCTCGTAAGCCTGGTGGGAGTGGAATCTGGGGCACGGGCACGTATACGGCGCTGATTTGCAATTTCATCGGGGAGTTGAAGAGGTTTTGTGCGGTGAAACACAAGCTGCCTCATTCGGTCAAGGGCTGGGCAGCCAACATTGTAAACAGAGTAACATTTCTCGTGTGTTTGTTTTTTTGGCGATGCACTGGGGATTTTATTCTAACCAGTGTCCTCACGTCCTGCTTTACTTTATTCTGAAAAAGGGAAATCAACCGTCTGAAATGATCAAGTTAATATGAATTACCTTTTATACCACGAGAATAAAATTTATTCCACTCGAAACCATTGGCTTATGATTGTACCCTGGTGTATCACTGGATTTTAATCTTGAGATTGAAGAGCTGTTTTCCAGAAATTAGGCTTTTTTTATGATAAATTCTCTTTCCCCACGGGCATTGGGCCATTACAATTTGGCATAAACGGAATTGTTCACGCAAGAGATTTCTTTCTTCCAGCGTAGTGCACACAGGTACACGAGCATACTAATTGACATTTTGTACGTTTGGCTTATCAGGTAAGTCTACCAATCATGAGAAGAAAATGATTCTGCATTAGTATACAGAAATTATGCAGTGGACAGTGAACAATCAACATACATTGTCAGCCTTTTGGCATCAGTGAACAAAACACTGTTGATGTTGATCATTCGCCTTGACTCGTGCGTACCAAAGACGGAGGTTTAATAGAACTAATTGCATGCCACGTTCGCCTTCGTGCCCAGGAGGCATGACTGCACCGAACACTGATTGGGAACATTAATTTTAATTTTATCATAATATCGGGTGAAAAATTTCATCGGACTCGTGGGCGAGCAGTAATAGGCGGCCTTTATAATGACGAAACTATGGAAATCACGATTTCTGCTCATGGTGAGAAAATGTCCTTCACTGCCTGTTTGCGTTGTAAATCCTTTCTCCACGACATGTTGACACGAGCACACCCACGGTAATTATAGACGTGGGCAGAGTATCGCACAATAGGCCTATACATCGAGTAATTTTGCTAATGAACACGACTGATGAAAGCAAAATGCCACGGTGAATGTATACTCATAGAGTTGGTAAGAACATTGTATATTTTCCTTGTAACTGCTACCGCCTAGTAGTAGAATTATGAGATTATTGGTCATATTAAGAGCAGTGATGATTTAAGCCAAACTGCGCATGACTGAACGAAAGCAAAACGGCCGCATTATACGACGCGTTGGTAGTAATACTTTTTCTTGATTATTGCCGAGTAAAGAAGAAATTTAAACCGCAACCCTCACCTTTCCACTAAATACATTCATTTGTAAAGTGTAATATACTAAATTTGTGACTCGGATATATTTAAATTAAATTCTGTCGAGACAAAGATTGTTTCATACAGGCCTACATTTAAAATTGGTTTTATTTTTTTGTAATGGAAGTAGTTATAATAATTACCAAAAATGGGACCATAGGGAGACATTCCCATAGACTTGTGCGCACAATTTTTCAAACTTAACTGTGCTCTAACCCAATATTCCCTGGTCCTTTCCCGCGAATTTCGGTATGTTTACTAATTAGTCCACGAGAAACAAATATAACCCGGTTGCGACGGCAAAAATTTGCCTCTAAAGGGGGGCTGTGGAATTAGGGAGACATGAAAATGTCTCCCTAATGACCGATGTCTCCCAATTGTCGAAGAAATTACGATAACGTGTCTCCCTAATGGTACTATTGGGGGAACACTGGTTCCCGTGCCATACTTGACTAGAGAGATTTGGAACCAGCGCGTAGCTTCAAGATGTGTGTGCATTACGATGGCCAACGATCTATCCAGGTATCTAAACGTGGAGATCAGTGGTTATTTGGCGTACTCACGCCATCACTCACACACACGATGGGTCTTATTTACGAGTCGGCCATTTTGAATTGAAAGTTACGTAAAATCTTAATTTTTGGAACTTGCGAAGAGAAATGAAAGCAAGTTCATTTATAATAAATTCCAGTCTGCTTCAATAAATAATTTAAAATGTGTAATTAAACAGTCCATAATGTTTAAAGTCGTATTTAAAAAAGAAATGACAGTAAAACAAGGCTGCATTGTGCGTGCATAGATAGTCGGGCGCCATCCCATTACACCGTAAACAATTAGTGAAATACATTCAGGGAACTCGACAAAAATGGCCAACTCGTGAATAAGGCCCATACCTACATTTCAAAGGCATCTTGAGTATAAACGCAGAACAACGTCATGTCATTTCATGGTGTATTATATTTGATACCTGAGGCACACGAAGTATTGAGAAATTATTTAATCAGACATTTTTTAACCGAGTTATGTCGATTGTTTTCTGCTATGCCGTATTGTTGAGTTAAGTGCTAGTTGTGTGAAGAAAACCTCGGAATGATGTTCAAGGCGAAAACAAGGAATCAGTTTAGTAGGGTTTAATACCCAAATCCACACGTTTGTGTGTAAGCTTCGTTAATCGTTTGTACGTGTATGTACTATGTGTGTATTTGTACCAGTGGCTCCAGTTTTTATAGTGTATGAGTCCCGTTTAGTGATTTTTTTTTTAAAAGATTTGTCTAATTGTATTAAATAATTGTGCCTGTTTTCCATAATCTCCCTTTTGTGTTTTCTCACAGCTTTTCGCATTTTTCTCTAATGGTGTTAATGTGTTGTTTTGAACTACTCTGTTTTTATTTGTATATTTCAATGATTGGAAAATTCCATGCCTGGATTCGAACCCGATTCGCAGGCGTGGACGACGAGAAAAGTACTTGAACTCCCATATTCTAATGAAAAAAAACCCCTCACACTTCCGAGAAAGATCATTCCTATGATTGAACTAAGGATTAGGCCAACCATTAATTCGTCAAATCTTTTATTTGCATTTTTGTTTTAATGAACGAACTATGTCATTAAAATTTTAAAACAATCCTATAGATGTTTTTCGCTCATGACAATGTACAATCGTACATTATTGACCAGCTGAGCGTGCATAGATTACTGACACATACACTCGCTACATTGGGCACTTTAAAGCATCGGATTCGAGACTGTCCTTAAACAGCTAGCTGCGTGTTTCGATCGGGATGATTTTGAAACGAAGACTGACATTTATAAATGCCAAACATGGATTGAAGTACACAACTATCCAGAAGGCACGAGAAATAAAAGAAAGTGAACATAAACAAATAGGTGTTCGGAAAAAAGAAAGAAAGAAGGGTGAACAAGGAGGCAGCATAAGCGTGTGTTCGCGAGTAATTTTGGTAAAAAGTAATTAGTGGTCTGTTAAAACCACTGATAATACATGAAACAGGAGAAACAACACTTCCGATCCTAATTGAACCGAACAAAACCGAACCAAAGCAACCAAACCGAACAGAACCACACTTTATATTATGTACAGGTATAAATTGAGCTACGCATTGGAGTAAGAGTGCCACGATGTCACTGAATTCAAAGATTGTTTTTTTAAATGCGTTCCCGTTTTGGTATTGGTAGTCGCCATCTTAGCCGTGACGTCACAACGATTGGGTCACGTTTTTCGCTTCCCGTTATGTTGCACGTTGGCACCGTGAACAAAATGTACGCAGAAAGCAAATGGCTGCACCATACTCGCTGAAACTGACGATTTGTTGTCTACTTTCAACTTTTGGAAAACAGGAAGAACAGCAGTGAACCTCGATAGTTTGAAGACGGCCTGCAGGCTCCTTTGTTTAGCTTTTATTGTTAAATCGAAATTCAGCGAAATTTCATCATAAAACGATAAATATGTGTAATACGTGTTATCGAGTATATGAAAGAACCGTATAAGCTACTTCTATAAAAAAGAAAAAAAAAGTGCTTCTGGCCTCACATCAGGAAGCGACGTTTACTACGATGGCATATAAAAACCAAGAAACTCAAAACGAGGTTCCATGGACAAAAGTATTACGCGCCGAGCTATATGAAGCTGACTGAGTGTTATGAAATGCACTTATAACGTCCATCTATTAAGCCAAAGGAGATAGGATGCCAGACATCAATTTACATAACACACGACACATACTTGACATCATGTGATGGACGATCTGTGTAGTGGACACAGGTGTCAAAAACGAGCTTTCATTTACTGGATTAGCCTACCAAGGTTTGACTGCAGATGCATTAATAATTGAATTCCCAGTAGTATGTTTAATGATCGCTGCAACAAGACAGACATTTTCACGTAAAAGTATAGCCCTTTATATTCAGTTGTTTAGTTATTTTTACACAGGGTATTCAGACACAGTTAAAACTGATTACCATTTTTCCTGCACACATTACAATAACAGGCACTTGAAGAAAGATGTAAATAGGCTAATGCAGGATAAAATAATATAGGTTTTCCCAGCTATTTTAACACTTTTATCACTCGAATTCCCTATATCATGACTTTAATTTCGTCCCCAATCATCGCCAAGCTCACTTCTCAATTTGAATTTCAAAAAGCCACCACTAGACTTCATTTAAGGTGCAGTATAATTCAAATTGTTAGCATTCTGATTCGTCCAAAATCTTTGAAATTCGTCTCGTGAAGCAATCGGCGTTGAATTGACAAAGCAAATTCATTTTTGTCATTCGTTTTCAAGTTGTTGTCATTGAATTTCGTTTCTTGTGACGTAAAGTGCATACGATTAGAAAAAGCGCCCAATCTTTAGACTTATTTGAAGAATTGTGCGCATTAAAACAATGATAATTTCAACATCCATTACCCTATATGTATAAATAAAAGTTGTTAGCTGCATAAGGTATGCATTTTTATTTTGTGTTTCACAATTAACATTAGAGTCAAGAATTGACATTTCAAATATGACATGGACACTAAGCGTCTTCTTAATGTTGCTCTTTGATAGACATATACCGCATTTCTGTTGTTTTATTCATATACCTGTACATATATCAAAGG